TAGTAGAAGAAGAAGAAGAAGAAGAAGAAGAAGAAGAAGAAGAAGAAGAAGAAGAAGAAGAAGAAGAAGAAGAAGAAGAAGAAGAAGAAGAAGAAAGGTTGCAGAGAGAGAGAGGAAGAAAAATGGCTGGGGTGAGTGCATGGTTATCAAACACACTTGGTTACGTTTTCAGAGCAGATAGAAAGTCAAAACGACTTTCTTTGCCTAGATGCCGTACCTATCACTCGTAGAAGCTTGTGTTTTCAACTACTTTTCATTCGTTTATTCAAGGTGGGCAGGGTATATGGTGGCAATATACCTATATCTGCATCATGACATTAGTTACAAAGTACACTCTCAAGTGACTCAAGTGTGACATTGACTCTACCGGCATTCTAACCTTTGACATTGAAGCTAAACACTTACAAATATTTTTTTTTCTCATTCCTAATTTCAGCACCGAATTTTCCCAATAAAGAAAACGCTAATGTTATTTCTGTGACCGTTACTGTTGATGTTGGTGTTGATGATGCTGCTGCTGATGATGATACTGCTGTTGTTGCTGCTGCTGTTGCTGCTGACACTCATGCTGCTGCTGCTGCTGCTGCTGCTGCTGCTGCTGTTGTGGTCTTAGTCCACAAAATTTTGATTTCAGTTACTGTTCAAAGTGAATTAATTAAGACCAACGTTTTCAAGGGATAAAAATGAAATTTTGATAATTGTATATAACAACTTCAGCGGTAGAAGCAGATATAGAAGCCCACTGGCAACTTAAACGCTTCCAGTAAAACTGATATCGATTAAGAAAATGAGTAAGTCCAAAATAAAAACGTGCCTATTTTTATTGTGCGAGTTTTTACATCGCCCCCCCCCCCCTCCCCAACTGATTTAGAGCATTCAGGTGGCTGGCTTGACTTCTGCAGTATACAGGGTGAACCCGAACAGTCTGGGGCTGAGGGGATACGTGTACAACATATAGGCCTATAATCAGAAAGACCTATTATAATGCTCCATAAAAAATTGTCCTCATACAAGAACCGAACTCGGGTCTTCTGCGTGCGACAGCGAAGTACCGACCACTATACCACATAGGCCTATTATGCCGCCCGTAGCCTGTTTAATTAATTATATGACAACAATTAGGAAACGACAAGGGTAGCCTATAAATACTAACGCTGATTAGAACTCATATTTTGTGGTGGAATTAATGGTATGTTTGGCTGGAGGAATAATAAAATACTTTACCCTACATATCTCGGTCCACGGAGCTGCTGTGAATAGGTAAGCCTATGACAGTCAGCAGCCTAGAGTGTTTGAACACCGAGCAAGGTTCATGCCGTGGTGTTCATGTCTTTCTGGGGCTGAGAGCGAGAATTGGAGCGATTAAATTAGGCTAAGTTTGCCAGTGGGTATCCAAAGTCGTACATCGTAAGACTTCGATCAGAATTGATACAAACTATATGAAATATAAGAAAAATATATATTTTTTCATTGTTGGTGGATGACGAGTGTTCTGGTATTGTTTGCTCATTCTCTCCCATCAAACAACTCGTCCTTATTCCCCCCCCCCCCCATCTTTTCTTTGCATGTTACTATCTCTCGTTATATTACCTAATCTTCGGCACCTATGACCTATTTGTGTTGCAAACTCTGCAAAACCCGTCATAAGCTACTTTAATCGCAGCAGTGATTTCAATTAATTGAGCTATAAAAACAAGGACGGCATTAATTAAAACACAAATAACACCCACCACCCACACACACGCGCGCACGCACTCGCCTAATTCTAAGCGCGCTTTACGAAAAAACAACAACCCCAAAACAAACCAACAAAATTTTGGCCTGACGATCTAGCGGGCAGACTCATACCTTCATGAGGTTTTCAATGTTCACTTTTTAGTAACTGCTATATTCACTGGGGTTTCATTGAATCAATAGAGCTGCCCTCACACCATCCTGTGACCTTTACATCGTGTACTGGTCGAGGAGAACGTTATAGTATGCTGGTCTACGCTCCTCTCGGTACCGATACGTTTTTAACTAGGTCATGACCATGTGTTTCAGAACCCATTATCGCGGTTTAAACGATGGAAACTTCTGTGAGATTTACTGTATGGGTCGTCACAAAGCGCGCTGCAAATTGGAATGGTCAAGGTCTAGAACGTAGTTTTATAAACAATTTAACGGTATTTTTTTCAGCACTTTTTAGGGCGAAAAATAAAGTAATATACTGTGGTATTCCTGCTCATTCAAGAGCCTATAAAATGATAGCGTCAATCCCAAACGCGTAATACTTACTCATGGGCGCAGTAACTTAATTAAATGAAAGCACAAATGAGAGAGAGAGAGAGAGAGAGAGAGAGAGAGAGAGAGAGAGAGAGAGAGAGAGAGAGAGAGAGAGAGAGAGAGAGAGAGAGAAGGGGGGGGGGGGGCAACAGGGACAGGGAGCGAAGGGGTAAATGCAGAATCGTCCCCGTGAAGAGGAACGAAACCAGTTTAATTGCGCAGGCAAATTCTGGATAACTAACTTCAGTTGTTGTTTTTCTTGAGCATGAATTTGGAGAACAAATTGGTGGCATTTTTTAAAGGCCCTTTCGTGTGTTATACTCTTCCTCAACGTCACTCCTCGATCAGCAGTTCGCTGTCAGGAGTGAAGCAGGCCTAAAAATAGGCCTTCAGACCTGTTCATCGTTAGGTGGCGCTTCAGCTCGCTTGGGTTCTGTGAGGTCAACAGCATGAACTTATTGTTGTGAGGTCAAGGCCGAAAACGCCGGTATTAATCTTTCGTTTCACTTCGTTCTGTTCACTTCGGTTTGCTGGACTAAGCACGAGCAGGTCTACGCGAGCAAAGCTTCATTCCCCACCATGGCTTCCTACCACAGACCAGACAGCCAGACTATTCAAACTTTGAAGGATATCGCTAACAAGCTGCGAATTCACAGCATAGAAGCAACAAACGCAAGCAACTCTGGGTAAGTATAAGTCATCGTGCCCGGTCAATGCCGGTCAACGTGTTTTCTAGCTCGGAAAGATTAGAATGGAAAAATATCGCAACAAGCGATAGCAGACCATGCGATTTCTGACTGGCGGTCGAATGACTCGAGCCTGGCCAAATCTCGTCTGCTTGGAACATTATGGAAGGCCAAGTACAAATAGCTTACTTAACGATGTTGGCTATTATACTGCCTCTGTCACTGACTGACCACGAGCTCATGGTTTCATGTCCTTTGCGTAACAAACAACTCCATATCAGTATCATATAATATCTCCCCTTCAAGACAAAGTCAAAGTTGCAGCGTCATTATATTTAAAAAAATTAAGCCGGGCGTTTGTGTTGCATTCACCTGATTTCTTTTCTTCCTTGTTGAAAGTATTCTGTTAGATTTTGCACCCCCCCCCCCACCACCCTGCCCCCCCCCCCTAGGGATCTGTTATGTGATTATTACAACAGGCCCCCGCCCCCCCCCCACCACCCTGATTTTATTTATATTTACATTCAAAAATTTCCTACGGAGAAAGAACTCCAACACAAATCTCTTTTTCTGACATTTTCGTTTACTTTTACTCCTTACTCATTCATAGAGTGAAGTAGGGAAAAGATGTATGATCAACCCGTTGCTTGGTGGAGGTATCTAGAATCTAGATCGAGATCTAATCTAGATATTAGATCTAGAATCTAGATCTAGATAGAAATCTAGTCTAGATTAGATCTAGATTTAGATCTCTAGATATTAGGCAGGCCTCATTTAACCATAATTAGGCTCTAGATCAAGCCTACTGAATCTATTGATACTATGGTGCTTTAAGGGCATCAAAAACGCTGTTGTTAGATAGCCTGGACCCTGCTTTAAAATATGGCCCCTATGAAAAAAGAGAGCCCGAATCAGCCTTTCTACTTTCTTCACAACTTAATTATTTCTTTTTAACCACATAATAGGGTTTCTTTTTGTCAGTGGGACAAAGGAATTCATATATATATATATATATATATATAGATCTAGATATAGATATAGATCTATATACTATTTACATGTGCACGGACAGAGCAGACTGCTGGTATCGGACTGCTAGCTGTAGCCACTAGAATCTAGTTCCTTAGATGCAGACAGATAGCAGTAGGATAGCTATTTATTTGCCATTAAAGCAATTTTTATTGATAAAGCAAAATCTTTTTTAACGTAATTATAACTGACTGGCATTACATCTAATTTATTCTTATCCCAGATCATGAGATTCTCAAGTGGGCCACTTTTAATGTGAAACATGATGCATGGTCTTCTTTTTCAAACTTTTTGCTCTGTTCTTTTGCCTTTTAAATGGGTGGTCGGAGGGGTCACTCTAGGTCCAATTTCCTTTTGTCTTTGTTTACCTACACTTTAAATGATCTATACTTTAATTGTGTTGAGGTGCTTAATTTTAGCAAACAAACAAAGAAGCAAACATGTGTTTTTTGACATTTTGTCTCCTCCCCTTCTGCTTTTTATCTTCGTCTGGCTGAACGTAACTTTATTTCTTTGTCTCTAATGCTATTATGTTTTCCTTTCCCAATTTACCCCCAGGGGCGGTGCCACTGACTATTCTGAAGTGTCTTGAGGCCATTCCCAAGGGGGGGGGGGGGGGGGGGGGATATTTCTCGTTCTAATTAAATCTAATGCACTGTAGAATTTGTAAATGGGCTGATCCAACAATACAATGTCATACTCATAACTGCCTGAAATACAACAGGGAACTGCTGCTTTTTTTTTTCCTAATCCTTACTATCGTCATTTTCCCGTACTTCTTTTGAATGTTTGTCTCACTCTTGTGACCCGCCATTTCCGGGGTGCCTTGATAGTCTCAGACCTTCTCTGTTGACATCCACCCCTTGGCGCTCACATGACCTTATGCAGTTGCGAGCGCCGTAGAACTTCTACTAAAAAAAACCTTTCCCAATTTCTTATTTCCCTGTCTTTTCCTTTTCTTTGTGATAGAATATTGGACGTATGGATTAATTAAAGTAAAACAAAAAACGAAGTCGATTAGTCTCTTCATTTTGTTCCCATCACCCTGCACCCTTTAACCTCTCTTACAACCGTAATTATTATTACTTCTCTTGTCTCCTTTTTTACTACTGTTTTAAGTCCAGCCTCTGTTACCACCCATTGCTTCCACCCAGCAATCAACGCTTTTGTGCATGAAAAAGATTTAAGACTTTTAAAAATGATAAAAGATACTGAAGTTGTTGGCCCTTCCATGTCATAATGTGCAATTGCCTCAAGAATCAGTAAACATCTTTCTCTGGTTACTACTGACTGCCTGTACGTGTACACAGCTTGTGGATGTTCAGTGTGTTTCAGAAGTCACTGGGCTGCACTGATGTCACATGTGTTTGTTTGTTTACCAGAGACATTGGGCTATATTATTGTATTTATGTAAAGGGATGTGTGTGTATTTCTGTTTCGAGGAGAGAAGAGAGAAAGGGGCATCGCATCGGAATTGAGGATGTATGTGAGGTGGGGAATAGCTTTCTTTACTTTCGTCTGCCCACACTAGTGAACAGATAAAGAAAAGACAGGGAAGTGTTCACAACATCTGAGATGTGTTGCTTTGAAAACAGTACTGCCAAAGGTCTATTGTAAACAAACACAGTAGTGCAGTCCAGTGACTTTTTAGACACCCTGAGGATATTTTGGTCTTTGAGGCCTGCAATTGCTTTTATTGAATTATACTATTTAGATAGCAACAAAATAATAGTCTCATTAACAGCTGTATCATTTCTCATTTTGAAGTCTTTCTGCAAGAGCTTCTGATACACCCCCCCCCCCCCCCCCAAATTTTTTTTTTTTTTTTTTAAATAAAAAAAAAAAATAAAAAAAACAATCTGGTAATGTTGATCATGATACTTAATTTCCATTGAGATATCCAATATTATGCTTGATAAGACAGCTTGTCATTTTATGGCTTTCCTTTCGATGCAATCTTTTATGTTGTACATTCTGCTGTAAGCGATGCATTTTAAGGAAATACTCCTAAATTACATGAGAGACAGACTTTTTTGGATTGTTTGTTTTATTCTGTGATCTAGACATGTTTTGAAGGGGCATAAAGTGGAACTTTTCATGGTCTGCTGATTTCATGACTTGAGAAGTCGGGATATCTAGATATTTTGTTCTTCTTACAGTCACAGCTGACTGGTTTTTGATAATAACCTAAAGGGGATGTAGGAAGTTACAAGTAGGTCATGAATATGTTTGAATTGCAGAAGTAGTATGACATGTCACTTTTTTCTTTAACCTAGTGTTGCTAGATAGGAAACCAATTAGAATTTGAAACTTTTTGTTGAAAGCCCCAAGGCCAAGGCCCAGTATAATAATAGTATTAATAATAATAATAAAGATAATAATAATAATAATTGCTTTTATAATTTATATAGCGCCTATCCACGATCTGCAGCATGTTCTATGTGCTTTACAACTATTAAGTTATTACCTCAGCAGACCCTAAAACACTCAGAAACATTCTTGGCTTTCTGGGAAGCATACACACAGTGCTAGCTGTGGATTTCATGCTCTCAAACACGAACAAACTGACAAGATCTTTCACTGTTTATAGCTGAGTTCCTATTTCTACCTGGGTGAAGTGAGAAAAGTTGGTGTAAAGTGCCATCACTACCTTATGGTTACGAGTCGAGAGCTTATTCACTGGGCCACTGATGCCCCTATAGTATAATTCGTTATACTATGGAGTCTACTACTGAAATTTGTTGTACTGCTGAATTTTTTTTGGGTTAGCTGCATTTTCGGTTTAGAGAGGTTGCTCAAATAGAAAGAAAAAAATCAGAAATTTTATTTGCTTTCCGTTAACCTCAGTTTTTGGATTAACCGTGTTGGGTGTAAGTGGATGCCACTGTTTTCCCATACAGGCTCATAACAAAATAACTCAGTCATGTAACGACACTAACCAGATCGTGTTATCAGCAATTCAGCAGACTTTTTTTTCTTTTTCTTTTTTGAAAAACTACTTTTAAAATACATTTATATTTTTGTTACATGATAAAATAGCAAGTCTAAAGCATGTGCGGGTAGAAATTAAGTTTACTAGGTAGGTTTTTTTCCTCTCAGCTCTTCATATATGCTGTACAAAGTTCAATAATGAATTTCACCCTCTTTTCTGTTCCTCAAAAAAAAATCTCTGACCTCTTTATGAATGTTAGTAGCACAGTTTTGGTGTCAATATTTTTTTAAAAAATCTTGTAAATGGTCCTGTGCAAACAGAACACACACTTTTCCAAGAAGAAAACAGAACCAGAACCCTCTAAGCTCTGCAATACAACAAAAGTTTCATATGAATATTGAAATTAGAACCCAATCTACTGTAAAAATTTACCCATGCTTTGTGTACATGCTGCTGTTACGTAACATTCATATTATACGAGGGGTTGAGATCATGTAAAACCCACTATATCCATTTTAGCACTTTGGAAAAAATCAGCTTTTCAAAAATGCTACGTGAACATGCATAAAAAGATTTTTTGGTGACTTTTATAAAGTATGTGTTTGGTTGTGGCAGAAAACACTTTGTGCATCTGATAGGCGGTAACAATGTGCATTTATAAACAAAAAATCTCGAAGTTTTTTCCAAAATGTCGCTTAGCGGGTTTTGCATCTCACCCCTCATATGTTTCTGTAGCTCAAGTTACAAGTGACAGATATATACTGAAGGACTAAGAAGTTGTGGGAAATGCTGATGGAAAGAAATTTTTAAAAGAAAAGCTATACCAATGGGCAAGGATTGTCAGAGTTGTCAGCATTGGGAATATATATATATATATATATATATATATATATATATATATATATATATATATTTACAGAGAGAGAGAGAGAGAGAGAAGAGAAACATTAAAGGAACAAAGAGAATAAGAGTTGAAATGACTTCGTGGTGAGAATTATAATTAACCATGATGCCACAATGCTGTGCTGCTTTCGTTTAGTATGTAATTGTCTGTTCTGTGTAGTAGAAATTGTTAGTGACTTCTTTGTATGCCCTAATTGTAACAGTGATGATCATGAAACCCAATGTTTTGACCTTCCCAGCCACCCCACATCATGCTGCTCTGCTGCAGACATCATGTCAGTGTTGTTCTTCAACACAATGCGCTACACCATCCAAGAGCCCCGCCACCCTAACAACGACAGATTTATCCTGTCCAAGGGTCACGCTGCCCCCATCCTGTACGCTGCCTGGGCTGAGGCTGGACTCTTCCCTGCCTCAGACCTTCTGCAACTGCGCAAACTCTCCTCCGACCTGGAGGGACACCCTACTCCTGTGAGTGATATGAGCAAACTTTTTGCTGTCCTGTTAGACTTTTAGCTATTGTGCTGCTACTATGCTGCTAACCATGGTCCTGTTTTAATTATATGTGTATCTATTTATGTGTCCGTAGTGTTTCTCTTATTGTAGAAGAAGGGATCTTTTTAGTTCATTCTATGCTAAATGGAACTTTTATTTGCCAGGTGTGCTTTTATTCAAATTAGGTTTGGAGGAACAGGTGTCTACTTTTTTCTTTTTAATCTGTGCATAGTGAGACAAAATTTGTAGTGCTGACCTAATTTACAGACCCTGTAAGAACTCCTAGAATTTTTCTTCTCTGTCCCTTTTCACATTTGTTTGTCTGTTGCCTTTTTTTTCCTTCCCAAAGAGCCATATGTTCATGAATTTAAATGCTGCCTCTTAACAAGTGGTCATGATCATATTCTTATTATCTCACAGCGTCTGAACTTTGTGGATGTGGCCACCGGTTCTCTGGGACAGGGTCTGAGCGTTGCTGCTGGAATGGCCTACACTGGAAAGCATTTTGACAAGGCAGAGTGAGTATGGTTGTGAATGCTTTCGATGGAGTAAGAAGCAGTCGTCTAATTTATTGTTTTGGTTTTTGCCTGATGAGCTTAGCTGCAAATATGACAAGAAAAGTGAATTGACAAGACACCCAATGTTTTTCATTATTGTGTTGTGCATAAACAGGAAATGCATCTTACCTGCAAATTTGTGAATTTTCATAATTATTAGACATTCATACTTTTTTTTATAGGATACTTATGTTATTTTAAAGGAATGTAGTATCCAGTAGTTTTTGTCGGTACTTTTCAAGTAAGTGTCATAAATCCAGGTACTTTTAAGTGAACATGGCAATTGGCTCAAACTTTTTTACCATCAAAACTGAAGTTTATTTAAATGTTTGACCACCGTTCTTGGGGGATGTCAGCTAAGAGGAATGATGAAATTGCCAAAATTTTCCTTAATATCAACCAGATCTACCAGAATTTTTATCATGATAAGGGAGGGAAGTTGCAATGCATACAGTAAAGAGGGACAAAAGGGGGATTTGAAACAGGACTTTTGTATCAAACAACGTTTACTGTATTTAATTTAAAAGTGCATGCTTGTTGTTTTTTTAAAAATAAACTGTTTTGCAACAAAATGTTATCTTTGTATGTGTGTTTTTCTTTGACAGTTATCGTGTGTTTTGCCTCATCGGTGATGGAGAGAGTGCAGAGGGATCCATCTGGGAGGCCATGCATTTTGCCAGCAAATACAACTTGGACAACCTGGTCGCCGTCTTTGACATCAACCGCTTGGGACAGAGCGAGGCTACCAGCCTTGGCCACGATATGGATGTTTACAAAGCCCGTGCAGAAGCTTTCGGGTAGGTTTACGTCCAGTGGCGGGATGCCTTGTGATAGAATTACGTCATGTAAATTGTATGTTTATGGGGGAGGAGGAGGGGGGTGGGGTGGCTAGGTGGGTCTGATAAGATATGAGGCAGAGAAATTGCACAATGCTTATGTATGATTTTGTTAACTTGCTTATGATTGTGTATTGTGCCGTAGAAATATTTATTTTTAGCACATATCTTTTTTGAAAGTTGTGACTGGTGCTCAAGTTAAAGATTTAAGTCTATCTAGGATAATACAGTCTAGCATGCACATAGCCAACAGATTTTCAGGTCCAAAATTTTTCTTTCACATGCATTTTCTTTCTATTTAAAATACGTTCATAGTGAAATTCATACATTATGAAAAGATTTCTGTGCCCTGGCAATTTTTGTTTTATTTCACTACGTGTATGCTAGACTTTATAATGTTTTTACCTTGGAAGATTTTCTCACAGCATGCAGTATTATTCAACAGTTGAATTCTTTGTATAAATGACAGCCTCTAAAGTACATATAGTTTACTGAAAAGTATGGTTGACTACCTCCCCATTACTATATTATCAATTGCTATGCTGAGTGGTTGTGACCCTCCTCCTTCATGTTCTCAATTGATTGATCTCTTCGGTATCTTCTCTTCCAGCTTCCACACATTTTTTACCCTTTTGTTTCCCCACCGTCATTTGTAGTAGTTGTTTTTCTTTTTCGAGATATATTTTCGCACAGATAACTCAAACTCAAACACATCAGGGATTGACACATGTGTTTGACACATCCATAATTTGGCTTAACCAATACCGTAAAATTAAAGAGATATCAGTCGCGGAATGGCACATTGTACAAGCTATCCGTGATTTAGAGTTTTCTGTGTTTGTGTTATCTGTGCCTGACTGTTCATAGACTATAACTGTTGATTTTACTGTTTGTTTTCATTATGTTGAAATCATTGTTGTTTGGGTAACAGTAGAGGCTAATAAGCTCTGTTAATTTCTTTCTGTTTTTAGCTGGAACACCTATGTGGTTGATGGGCACGATGTGGAAGGGCTCTGCAAGGCCTTCTGGGATGCTAGTCAAGTGAAGGGAAAGCCAACTTGCATTCTGGCAAAGACCTTCAAGGGAGCTGGAATTCCAGGTATGTAAATGCTCTTCGAAACAGAAGGCAACCATGATAAGTTCTGTCTATCTCTTCGAAGCAAAGCAAGTCTTTTGATTGTCAAAACGAAATGTTCTGGGCACAAGTGAACTATACATGAGCACTTTTGTTTCAGTATGCAACAATTCTTTCAGAGCAGTGGATTGTTGGTGGGGTATGTGGTCTGATTTGCTTTATTCAGTCATGGCTGTGGTCCTTAATAATAATTATTATAATATTTTTAATAATGTTAAAAATAGTTGCAATTATGCAGCACGTATCCATGCTCTGCAGCATGCTCTTTGCACTTTACAACAATTAGTCCTTGTGCATTCCTTTGCAGATATAGTGCTGAATTTCCATGAACTCTCTACTTGTCTGACCTGAATAAAAACACTTAAAGAAGGGGGCTTTTTACTGCAGTTTGAGGGTTGAAATGTAGACACTCTTCAGTGACTTCTTGCAGTGTTGTTGGTCTGCTAAGAGATTATGGTTGTATAATGCAAGGTGTCGGCCTGAACATTGTATGCGCTGTTATACAGTTACGAGCGGCGTAAAACACTTTCTGAAACATATCATCGAGCATTGTATGAGCCTTCTGTCTGAGAGAATATTAGGCAATTTTAATAAACACCCCTTATTTTATTAATAGCACCATAACAAGACTTGCAACATGTAAGAGTTTCACACACTTTGAGCCTGTGTGTCTTTTTGAAACTTTTGTGTTTTTTCTTTTGTTCCATCTGGCTCTGCTAATGCTGAGACATGGGACTTGCCTCCTTTTGCTTTTGTATAGTTTGAAAGACTTGTAAAATTTTACCTTCCTGTCCAGGAATTTCTGATGAGGACAACTGGCATGGAAAACCCCTGGGAGCAAAGGCTGATGAGGCTATCAAGGCCATCCGAAAGAATATTGCGAACCCTGGACCCCACAACATCATCCCCACTCAGCCGACTTTGAACCTGAAACCCATCAACGAGAAGGCTCCCCTCGCTACTGAACCAGCTTACAAACTTGGTGAAAGTGTAAGCCCCTTCAAAGATTGCATTTTTATCTTGTTGTTTTTTTCTCCATTAGACTTAAGCAAATCTATAGTTGGTTGGCGGATGCTTTTGTGTAGTGTGCTCCTTCTTTCTGCTCAAATATCTATTGTCCTTTCCTTAGCACTCCCCCTTTTTTTCTTTGTATGTCAGTAACACCTCTAATCTTTGACATTATTCATCTATTACGCAAAGTGGATATCAAATTAAAATGTTGAGATTTTTCAAATCTAAAACATTGGACAGCTTAATCAAGTTGTGAAGCAATTATTCAATTTTGTTTCATGCCCATATGATAGGATATGGTTATAATGTTTGTAAATCTTCAATGCAACTTACATCATTTTGGAGAGGGAGGCAGGCTGCCTCAACTCTGCCTCTCAGGGGGAATCCAGGCTGAGAGAGACACAGCATGCCAGTTGATAGAGATACTCGATAAAGTAATTTCCCCTTTTGGGAATAGAATTCACTTATTCTACATGCTAAAAATAAGAGTTTATCTGATATTCAAACCGCAAAAATGACCATCAAATGAGTAGAGTTTATGGGTATCCTTACTCTTTAGAGGAAAAATGAGGGCTTTGTAGCTCCCATGAGTACAGTGTGCGGTTACTTTGTTTAGATGGAAGTTGGTTAACAATATTGGAATGGCTCTTAAATGAATTTTGAGTTAATTTTTACCTCTTTAACAATTTGAAATCTTTTCTAAAAAGTATTATTAGGAAGTTGAGAGTTTGCAATAAGTACTTTTGTGAAATAATCTGGATGGGGTTCCATAAATTTAAAAAATATTGAAAACGTTTTGTGAGTAATGTAAAAGTAGAAATATGTATTGATTCATTTTCCTCTTTTCAACGACAGGTTGCTACAAGACTGGCTTATGGAACAGCTCTGGCTAAACTTGGAAAAGCAAACGATCGCGTCATTGCTATGGATGGTGACACCAAGAACTCTACTTTTGCTCTGAAATTCAAGGTAATCGTCATTGTCTGTTTTAATTTTATCTGAAAATGAAGATCTGGGCTCGCTGCCTGCTTGAAAAGCTTTTTGCATTTGTAATTGAAGTTAATATTTTCCCATATTTGCCATACATTGATATTAGCACAGCATGCATTCAGATTTCAGATTGGGAAAATTAGGTTGTGCGACGGTAAAAACTGAACAGTTTTTAACAAATATTGGTTGTGATGTTTATATTTGACTTTCATGCTTGTAACTAGATAAAGTACCAATGGCTATAGAGAATTTTCAGGGTTTTTTTCTTACTGTATTTTTCAGGATGCTTTCCCAGATCGCTTCGTCGAGTGCTACATTGCTGAGCAAAATTTGGTTGGTGTTGGAATTGGTTGCGGAACACGAACCAGAACTATTCCATTCATCAGCACCTTCGCTGCTTTCTTCACAAGAGCTTTCGATCAGATTAGAATGGGCGCCATTTCTCAGACCAATGCCAACTTTGTTGGTTCTCATGCTGGCATTTCTATTGGTAAGTAGCTTTTGATGTAAGAATATTGTTAGTACTGTATTTTGACCAATACTGCCAACTCGATATGGTTCATCTTCACCTAATCCCCACTACGCAACTCTTTTTTGAATGTCACCTAGCTTTGCGTTAAAGTCTTCCATGGCTAACATTATATCATGAGACTAAAGTTGTTGCATTGCCTTTTCCAGATTTTCATAGAATTTCTCTTCTTCTGTACTGTCATGTTCCAATATTAGTGCATATATATGTGTCAAAAGATTTCCCTTCTAATTGAGCTACACTGACTCGGACACTCCTCAGACTAGAAACCTTTGATGCTCTTTGCTGTTGCTTCATCAAACAAAATTTTGACACCTCGTAGTGGGCTGGTTCTCCTGAATATATCATTGGTTTATGTCCTGTTGAGCCTTGCCCTTTCCATATCACTTCAGAAAAAACAAATATATTTAATTTGATCCCTCCCATTTCAAAATTTATATTCTTCCAGTCACCTGTGCTCTTGGCTAAATATATTAAAACGCTCCCCCTCCCTCAAGTGTTTTGATCGCCTTGGCTAAAAGATTCAGTTGTGGGTCATGCGCTTAACTGTTTATTATTCTTACAGTAGTACATGCGACATTATTCGTCTGTTACACAAAGGTGACATAAAATGAGAATTATTAGATTTTAAAATCTAAAACATTTGACAATTGAGTCAATTTTCTATTATTGCTTCCTGGTCAACAGGAGAAGACGGCCCATCTCAGATGGCTTTGGAGGACTTGAGCATGTTCAGGTCCGTCCCTGGCTCAACCGTTTTCTACCCCAGCGACGCCGTGTCTGCAGAGAGAGCCGTGGAGCTGGCGGCCAACACCAAGGGCGTCTGCTTCATTAGAACCAGCAGGCCCAGCTTGCCTGTCATCTACAACAACAACGAGCCTTTTGCCGTCGGCAAGGCTAAGGTATGTTGTGTTGGGTTTTTTTGTTGACGTAATGTGGAGATTTTTCAGTAGTCTCTGCTTATATCTTTTGAGAAAGAGACTTGACACAACAGTGTTTCTTCCCCGCGGGCCGTGCCACTGACTGAAGTGTTTTTAGGCCATTCCCGAAGGGGGTACATTTCTCGTTCTAATGCGCAGTAGAATTGTAAATGGGCTGATCCCACAATGTCATGCTCATAACTGTGCCTGAACTACAACAGGGAACTGCTGCTTTTTCTTTCCTAATCCTTACTCTCGTCATTTTCCTCTACTTCTTTTGTATGTTTGTCACGCTCTTGTGACCCGCTATTTCCGGGATGCCAAAGATTGCTTGGCCGAATAGTAATCTTGTCACCGATTTTCATGGGTGGTTGGTGAGTGCTCTGGTGTGGTTTGCTTCTTCTTTCTTATCGAACATCCATCATCCTTTTCTCTCCTCCTTTTTTGTGTTTGTTACTCTCTTGTAACACTTATCAGCACTTAAATGACCCAATTGTGTTGCAAGTGCCGTAAAACTCTTGCTAAAATAAACAAATCACCGTTTGTTTTTGTTTTCCGTTGTTCAGGTTGTCAGGCAGAGCAGCACAGACAAAGTCACTGTGATTGGCTCCTGCGTCACCCTGTTCGAGGCCCTGAAGGCCGCCGACACCCTGAGTGCGTCTGGCGTCAACATCCGTGTCATTGACCCCTTCACCATCAAGCCCATCGATGGGGCCACCATCATCGCCAACGCCCAGGCCACGGGCGGGAAAATCATCACTGTGGAGGACCACTACCCTGCAGGTGAGTTGCCGTTGTTTTGTTGTTTTTTTCCCTCTCATTGTTTGAAGGCTCTTGAAACTTATGCTAGACTTTTCCTGAGCTCAAATTTGTGTACAGTGCAACCAGTCTATAACGACCTTCGATATAACGACATCCTCTGTATAACGACATGGTGCCCAGGTCCCGATTTTTTTCTTAATATATCGTTAGTAATTTTTCGTTGCCTCTCTTTAACGACAACTCTCTTACATTTTTTCTGGTCACGACGATGTCGTTATAGAAAGGCTGCACTGCATTATATTGTGTGCGTTTAGTGCCTCTGGAAGCTCTTGTAGGTTATTTACTACTAGGCTCAGCCTCAGAAATCAACGTTCATCTCTGATAGGACCGAGCTGTTGCCTGTTGCTAGATGTGAGATTGAAGTCAGTTACTTGTAACACTGAAACTTTTGGGGGTTGATTGTCAGTTTAGTTTGTTGCAAGAGACACTGAATTATGATGTTGGTAGTCAGTATCCATTCCCAGTGCCTGGCTGGTTCAGCTGTTTAAGGATTTTTAGGTTCTTCACCCTGTCTTGATGAGATGGAAATTACTCGGAAGGTGGTCTTTTGAAATGATTGAAATGTTGAAAGGGGATTAAAATATAATTCAGAACTGGAGGATTTATCTCACTTCCCCAAGTTATTTTTAACAAAAATATACCACAGGTTATTTTCACATAGATTTTGAACTATTCCGTAAATGTTTGTGTTTTTCAGGAGGCATTGGCGAGGCTGTAGCAGCTGCCGTCAGTGGACAGCCAAACATCATTGTGAAGCACCTGGCCGTACAGGAGATTCCACGCAGCGGCAAGTGTGCCGAGCTCATGGATAAGTACGGCATCAGCGCCCCCTGCATCGTGAAGGCCGTCCAGAGTATGCTGTCTGCTTAAAATGGGGTTTTCTTACTATGAGAATCTCCCATCGCACTGCATGTATTGACTGAAACATTCAGTTTTTGATATGTGTGCAAATTTTGTTGAAGTTTCTGTGGTTTACCAATATTCTTTTTGGGGTTGAACGTCGAGGATAAAAAGAGAATCATTTCGGCATGTCGCAGAGAGAGGTTCATTGATTTGTTGGGAAATTTGATGTATGAGGTATTTCATGTTTTTACTAACTTTATCGCTGGTAAAGAGATGTTATTCATTCATGAGTTTAAGAATGGAAAAATATGTTCTTAATTTCTTGTATTAGCAACTTCAATTTCTGTATAGAACTTGTGAGTTTTATAAGACCATCTTTCTTAATCTACCTAAGTCAGTGCATTACTATACTATGTTTTTTGATACCATTTAGTATGAACCTTTACTTCACGATTTTCCTCATCGCTTTTCATACGCAGAACCCCATCATTCCTACTACTACCACACACCTTTGTCGTCATTTTTTAACTTGGCAAACATTTCAGTGTGAGCTGAGGAGTTCGTTCAGTGGATGTGTCAATGTTGTGGTGGGTGTAGCCCACACCTACACTCACACCTGCTTGTTGCTTAGATGCCATTTATATAGCAAACTGAATAAAATGTTGAACAATTCCCTCGTGTTTGTGTTATGTAATGAGCAAAGAGAACATCATATACGATTAACATACTACTTTATTCGCATCTTTCGCTAAGAATATATACATTAAATTCACAGTGATGGCTCGGATTCAGACGCATGCATTTTTAGTAATAAAAAAAGGAATATGTTTGAGACACGACATTTTCAAGCCGCGCTTCTTATACTTTATGCCTGAGATAAAGATCAAGAGTTGGGGATAGTAATTTTTGTGTCTTTGGCCCCCCAAAAATGTAGAAATTGCATGAACTGACATATGCAGACACTCACACATGCATGATCTGTATGAAGGCATTGTGAAAACCAAAAGGCACAGGGTTTTTGGTTGACATGTGCTGTGGCATATTCATTTTAAGGCTACTTTGCTTTAGCATTTTCAATTAGAGAGGCATAAAAGCTTCATTTAACACTTTGCCATCACAAGGCTCATATAGTAAAAACCCTTGCCATCAAAGGCAAAGGCATTTTTGGGCAAATCAAAAGAAACGGGGTGGTAAAACGCCGATCAGCGAGATGTGATGACAAAGTGTTAAAGGATTTTTGTCTTCAGCAATTTCAGTTTAAGAGACAGTCTTGTCTTCCCCTTTTTTATTTGAGGAAGCAAACCTTGTGACAAGACAAACATGAGAAGAAAATGAACATGCAGACACACGCACACACACCTCTATGATTGCATTGTGATAATCAAAAGGCACAGTGTTTTTGAGTGACTTATGGAGTGGCATTTTCATTCAAGTCAAAATATGCCTCAAACGAAGAGTGAAAGAATGGAGGCTGCCTCTGAAGTTGTCTCAGAATTATAAAAAGTACAGTCAATGGTGACATTGTAGCCATGATGCCACATAAAAGAGAACGGGAAGAGTTTGTGGTCTTCCCAAGAAAAGACCTTCACCGCATGTTGAATGGAGTAACCTCCCAAGGAAGTAAAGATCATTTCAGATAACAACAAATGTGAGCCTTTTTCTGTTTCCAAATATTTGTTTTTCAATGACTGAGTTTGTATTTGTAGAGATCCACCACATTAAAATCTCAGCAGAACTAGACACAGAGTTAATTTCTTCAAGGTATCAATCTATATGTACAGAAAAGGAGGGAAATTTTGTGAAAGGTATACATTTTTAATGAAAATATCACAGATAAACGTCACAGATTACATGCTTGCTACTCATGCATTAAAAAAAATCTCAATTACAATCAGCCATGCCTTCTGTAAAGCATTAACCCTTTGAGCCCTGACCTCCTGATGCTACCGTGTCCCTCTGCTCGAGCTCCTGGGCGATTTACGCCTATATTACTCTGACTTTTGTATCATTGTCAGAATCACACTTCATATTCCACTCAGGGTAGTCCTCGTCATTACCAGTCATCTAATTCAGAAAGATCTTCAAAATAATAATGTCCTGTGTAGTAGGCTGCTGTTTTCCGTCTGTGATTTGTCCCAGAGGGGCCGGGTTGAGTTTTGCTTACCGGTGTACTGGTGGTTACGCATACAGGTAATTTTACACGCCACCGGTGGCTGAGGCTCAAAGGGTTAAAGGTATTTTGAGGCATGGCTTTCACAAATAATTCAAATATGATTATAAAACAGTCTGCAAGTGACGCCAAAGCAGTCACATGAGCCAACAAAGTCGTGGTAAAGTGGTTTGGCCTCCAAGTTTAAAATTGTTCCAACACTTGAAGAGCTCATATTCAATCATTCTAAAATAAATAAAAATTCTTTTTGTTCTACGGGCAATTAGAGGACACTGGAAATGTTTCTTTCATACTGTTTGCATTCTGCAATTTCCCCCCACCAATTGATGAGAGGTTGGCAAGTACTCTGGTGTGTTTGTGCCTTCTTTTATTTTACCAAGCATCTACCATCCTTACCTCTCCTTTTCTTTATATATTACTCTCCACAAACACCTCTAATCTTCGGCACTTGTAAGACCTCTTTGTGCTGCAAGTGCCATAAAACTAATCAAAACTAAACCCCCCCCCCCCCAATTATGTAATTTGTAGCAAAGCTACTGGCAAGAAGCAGTCTTGAACCTAAGCGGTTCTGTTAGGATGTAAATTGCTCTTGAACATTATAATAATGAGCAAGCTTCTTTCGTACTGACTGGCCATTCAAACTGCTACATCTTTATGAGGAAAAAAAACATTGCCTCTTACAAAGGTGCTTTCATAGCTGTTGGATTTTCTTCCCTGAATTAAAACTCTCATTTATAAAACTATGACTTTTCTGCACAAACTGCTAACTTATGCTATTTGTGGTATGCAATTGACACCACTGTCTAAAAGTATACGTCAAGTCAAAGAATTAGATACACCGTAACAAGCAAAACAATAATGCACTGTTGAATTTTGACAGATACAGCTGGTAGCCTACGATGTGTTTACACAAAACAAAATTGTACATTTGAATTTAAACAGGCATGATATATTTGTAATTGTCTTAATAGTTTTTCTAGATTCTCAACTATTCAGTAATGCATAAGGACTTAATTGGTTGGTCTAAGCACTTCTGCGAGCTATTGGTCTACGAATCTTTCTTGTTCCAAAACTCCTGTCGCTTCCTGGCACGCTCCAAGACCTCAGACGCGAGAGAGCCGCTGGATGCCACGGACATAAGAGATACTGACAGGACGTCGTCATCTTTTTTGTCCAGAGTGCCAGCTTTTATGTCATCTGTGGAGAGACGGAGAAGAAAATTCTTCAAAGCATGAAGGTAGTCGGTTATGTTCACTCCAGGCATTAAAATTAATTTATAGGAGAATTCTGCTCAGATCTTTTAAGTTCGTGTTGAGAAAACAATAATTCATGTATTGTAATATTTTAACCCGATTGTCTGACTTGAGATAGCTTGAAACTTATACACAACAAAAAGATTTCTACGTCCCGCCGACTTCCCTTTGTGCATGCTAGACTGTATAAACATATGGGGAATTTTAGCTCACCGTGAAAGATAACGATTCCAATCCTTTTTTAACACAATCTTCTGATATTAATCAGCAGAACCAATACACTTTTGTCCACTAGGAAAACATCTGAGAACAACGATCGTCTGGTCATTTAACGAACAGAGCCATTCAATGAGACACTATACGAAGAGCCAGGATAAACAGAGGGTACGAACTTCGAAAGAATGAAATTTTGGGCTTAGTACATCTATCTGAACAGTTGACCGAAGAAAAGATGTTAATTTACTGTCCATCTCCCAAGACCTCACCACACAGCAGGCAGTGGGCCTACAAGATATCAGAAATCTCACCTAGGTCCAGGAAGGGCTTCGGCTGATATGTTTTTCCATAGCCTTCCTTGATGGTCGTCAGACTGCCTGGCTTCTGCCCCTTGCTCTTCTTCTTTCTCTGGCCTTTGTTCTCTTTGTCTGGAACACAGAAATAGCAATTGACAATCTGAAATGTTTTAGTAAGTGTTTTACAGCACTTGCAACACGAAAAGGTCAAGTACAGAACAAGGCATAAATATTATGAATATTCTTTAAAAAAACTTGGAAGAATTTATTTTATTCCTTGATAAAACAAAAATATCATTAATAGAACTTATTTGTGGAGTTAACTGAAAAACTTGAAAGGCACAAAAAATATAACTTTGCGGTTTCTAAGAACATTCAAGCTTTGGAAGTCACCTAATGTTGGCGGTCATTTTCTTGCTTATTTAACTTTAGACACTAGGTAACACCCCCCCCCCCCCCTTCTATTCCAGATAGATGGGTATTTTCCTCATCAAAGCAAGACAAAAGAACAAGCTTTCAGATCAAATCAATAACTCCATATGCCCAAAAATTGTCGAGCGTCTGATTCCACCATGTTGTGACCTATATAGCCTTAAGCCATACCTTCCTCTGACCCAGGAAGTGGAGGAGACACGATGTACTGAGTGACCAGCGCTTGATCAGACTCGGCTACGTCGTCCCTCAGGGCATGCGTATCTGGTGAGGGCTTGCCGCCGGCTGGCAGGGTCAGCAGTTTGTCCATATTGTACTTCTGTCGGGTGAGAGAGGGACAAACATCATGTTATCATTCTTCTATAAATAAATAAAAATGAATAAATGAACGAATAAAAAAAAATAATAAATAAATACCAAAGCAGACAATTTTACAACATGACGTTGGAGGTCGCCACTGTGAAGCACCTCAATTTTTTTTTAAAAACTTGGGTTATCGTGTTTTGCTAATAGACACACCTCAGTGACCACCCATCAAAATCTCTTTTCAATGACACTTGCTTTACATTACTTTTAAGAATGAACTTGCTAATCACTAGGCCACGGGAGTCCCAATATAATGTAAGTAACATGTAATGCCTACCAAGAAGGCAAGAGAAAGTAAGAGAGGAAAGGGGTGGGGAGGGAGAGAACTAACAGAGGATGGGAACAAGACATAGAAACCTATGTGGCTGGGAATGGCTAGAGGCAGAGTGTTTTATCGCAGAAGGGTCCAAAAGGCAACATCTCCTGTTTTTTAAATAGTTTTAGTAAAGGTTTTACGGTACTCGCAAATGCATAAGGTCATATAAGCGCCAGGAGATTAGAGATGTTACAAGAGAGTAACAAACATAAAAAAGAAGAAGGGGAGATAAGGATGATAGATGTTCGACAGGAAAGAAGAAGCAAACCACACCAGAACACCCGCCAACCACCCACGGCAACATCTCCAACTAGTGGAAAAGATAAGAAATAGATGAAGGCTTACCAACACGGAGTAGTATATTAGGCTGGAAGGGATTTTCCAAAAACAAATCAATCCACTCTACAAAAGTTTAAAAAGAAATAAATTTCCTTAACACAAGTTAAGCCAGTTCAAAAGCATACAACTTACATATGTGATGAAGAAGTGAACTTCTTACAGACAAGCTAAACTAATACCAAAAATTGATTGCTATGTGTGCATGTAATCAATGCAGTGGTAAATTTGACACAGAGTCAACTGTATACCATGAGGTTACTCTTCATCCAAATGTTTGTTTTAACTTTTCAAATAAAACTTTAGTGGATTCGGTGACCTACTAGTGGTCAGGCTTCCGGACCCGTAATTGTGAGATTTTGGGTTCATGGGTTTGAGTGTCCTTGGGAAGGGTACTTTACACAAATTTCCCATTTGGCTCGGTCATTTCGGAGATGGACGTTAAACTCTGAGATCCTGCCTCTTAAATAACCTATACTATTAGATATGATCTATCTCAAAGGTTTCTATGGACACAGGCACTGACCTTCTGTTCACCTCTGACCGGGAGATCATCAGATGCAGTCACATAGCTGTCACCTGAACGTCAAATAAAAAAATTTTCATAAATGTATGAAGAGACAAACACACATAATCAACTACTTCGGTATCTGTGTTTTAGTTTTAGTAAGAGTTTTACAGCACTTGCAACACAAGACGGTCATATAAGTGCCAATTTTTAGAGGTGTTATTAAAGAGTAACAAATAAATAAGGAAGGGGGAGAGAATAGGACAATAGATGTTTGATAGGAAAGAAAGAGCAAACCACACCATAACACCCATCAACCATCCTTCTCAGGTTTCAAAAAGTCACCTGAACCACTGATTTTCCACAGAACATAAAAACAATTTTTGTTTAGACCAGCCAGCAATTAAATATTGCAATAACTCTTACAAATAAACAGAAACACGTATCAATTTATAAGCATAAAAACTTTGGCCAAATTAAAGATAAAGAAAGTAACATGATCACTTTTTTTCTAAAAAGAAAGTTGAGTAAAATGACCCAAACTAACATTACAACAAACAGGAATTTCAAATTCAGCACTCTGAGTATCATTCATTCTCTACAGCAAAAGAACAACACATTTGTCTGTTTTTGTTTTATGTACCGCAAAATTTAGCGTTGCTCAAACTATTTAAATCAAATGAAAATCTACTTCAAAATACAGTCGAAACTGCTCTAACAACCACCTGTTTGTGACAATCTCCTGTACAAATGGCCACTTCCCATTTCCTTCCCTTGCGTTTTTTTACATTCTACTGACAATAATTGTGTAAGCCGTCCTCCCGTCTACGATGGCTACTTTTCTCAACTACAATTTGTGGGCATCTTAGACAATTTCGATTGTATGCATACCATAGTTCATCTTAGACACACGGATTGACTCAACAAACATACCAGATCGAGAAGTGATGATCAGTTTGCTGCTCTTGGATGGTGGACAAGTGAGAATGGCACCGCCCACTGCAGGGGTGGTCAGGTCCAAGTGATGTCTTCGGGCCGAGCTATCACCTTGTAGCAAAGGGGTGGGAAGCCTACCCTCTTTTCCCACCAACCCTTCGCTGTCATTATCATCATCGTCCTTCATATCTTCTCTCTGTCTCGTTTCTTCAAGTTGCCTGAAATGATTTTATAGGGGGGGGGGGGGGGGGGGGTCGGGGGGTCACTTTTTGACAAAAAGACATTCATAAAATGCTAAAAAGGATGATAGAATATGACAAATAACTGAGGGAGGTATGAAAGGAACACAACTGAGCAAATTATCTTTGAAAGTATTACATACACATGCATACAAGGAAAAATAGACAGTAGTTCATAGGAACAGAACATCAAGACTTTTTTTCACTACCTCATAATACTTTTAATTCCATTCCATTATTCATATTCCTTTTTTTCTAACACATGGTTCTCTCTGTTTTCACAGTGCTAAACATCTACTTGAGAGATTACTTGATTATTTGTTTTCAGAACTGGGGTCTTCAGAGACAGATTCCATTCAAAACCCCTCACCCCTCCTCAACAGGGTTCATCTTAACTCCCTATTTCCAGCAAGCCACTCTCCAGCGGCTCGAGGTCGGAACTGCTGGCATTGGCTTGGGCACATTCCTTTACAACGACTTTGACATCAAATTACTATTCGGCAATTGCCGAAAACAGGTCTCTTTTACCGGAGGTTCATTCATTAGATGACCAACTATCCAAATTGGTTCACTTGTTTCGTTTTATTACCCATTTAGTGACATTTCTGTCATTTTTAGATTTAGTACCAAAAAAGGGCTCTGGCGTAGTGGATTTACCCCCCCCTCTGAGATAAAAAGTTACGGTATTCATACCGATGGTCCCTATCAGTAACTGATTTAATTTTCGCAAGAACTATTCTCCTCGTGCTTCTCAATGAAACTCCTCAGCAGAGGTGAGAAAGAAGACGGACGAGACAAAAGAGATGGGGGGAGCAGACAAAGAATAGCTGTAGCAAAAAGAAACCAAACAAAATCAGAGAGATTAGCCAAAAACTTGAGAGAATACAGTGAGACTGTACGAAAATAAAACACATCACATTTCAACTAAAAACACCATCCCACTGTAAACTTTCTCACCTCCTCTGCTCAGCCACACTCTCCTTCTGCTCCTCCAACCAGGCCATCTTTCTGCTTTTCCTTCCTCCCTTGCTCTTCCCTCCTCTCCTCCCTTTTTTCTTCTTTCCTTCCTTTCTTTGGGGTTCAGCTTCCTCCACGTCCGACATGAGCGGCGAATCTCCCTCTGTGGCCTCATGGGACAGGGCATCCACCAGGTCGGCAGGAGCTGTTTGGGCCAGGTTCTTTTCCTTACCTCTGAAGACGAAAGCCATTCGCTGACATGAGAATAACAAAACTTTGGTATTTCCATTCACTTTGGTGTACGGTAAACATATCTGTGACCAGCAAAGTGTGAAACCAAAGTACATTTGTGCTCATAGAATGTTAAGGTTCCAGTGTTCCAGCCCTTTTTAGACACAGAATAGAACTTATTCCTGTCGAACCCCCCACCCCCACCCACCCCCATTTGTGATGTATGGTGGGTTTTTTTTCATATTTTGCTAGCTAAGAGGGAGCAGTTTCAGTCATTTTGCGGTCCCCTTCAAAATTAAAGATTTAATTTCCCACAGCAGGAAAAGAGAAGAGTTTTCAGATCCCAGAGAGCAATGATTATGTTAAGATAAATGTGAGAGAAAAGTCTGGGGATATCTAGAAGCTTCATTTCTTTTTTATAAAGAAGCCACTAATCTATGAAAAAAAAATCCTTAACTTCTAAGACCCTCTCAAAACATATGAGCGGAGATTCCAAATTTAGGGAACACATTGTCTTTAACATCTTGTGAGAAGACTATTTTTATACAGAGAGAAAAGTATGGACAGTTTCAGAAATTCAGATTTTTTCATTTATCCAGAAAATCAGCACCTTTCTTTATAACACTTAGCTTTGTTTCACACTTTGGCAGAAACAAACTCTGTAGTCTGCAATATGCCTGCAAAGCGAGAGCAAATTATTTGAAGCAAAGTTTTAGGGTCTTAAAAATTTACAGTCAAACCTCCTCTAACAGCCACATCCCAATTTCCCCCTAGTGTATTTTTAAAAATTAAAATGTGAGGCGGCATGGTGAAATCAGGCGCTCGTCAAAATAATGAAATTGAAGATATCGACATTTTTCCTCCAGTTTGACAATAATTTTCTTATTTTCATTTTTTGGCTCAACGCTTTTTACGTCCATTTAAAAACATATTTCTGTGTAGATTTTACTGAAAAACAATGATTAAAGGCACAACAAATGTAAAGTTTCAGTTTTCAGGGACTCTCAAGCTTTGGAAATCACCGAACTTTGGCGGCCATTTTCTCATTAATTTTACGTCTAAAACCAGCCAACCTTAACCTCCTTCAATAACAAATATCTCGACTTCTATTCAAGATGGACATGTGTTTTTTTTCATCAAAAGATGGTCAAATGAACAAGCTTTATAATGATACCAATAGCTCCAGATGCCCAAAAATTGACGAGCGCCTGATATCACAACGCTGCCTCACAAATGACACTGCCTAAGACAGCCACTTTTCTTCTCGACAATGGGCAGTCGTCTTAAGAGAGTTCCGACTGTAATAAGAAATCTAGGCATTCCATCTAAAAAGAGTATTGACTCACTATCAAAAACAAATCATGATAACTGATGAAAAGAGAAAGAATCTGTAACCTGAGATGAGCACCCGAGGTCTCCAGGTTCAGGGCTCGAACAGTTGAGGAGCCATCCGAGTGGAGGTCCCAGCATTCGTTCTGTTTGGCCATCAGCTGCACCAGGTGCTCACGGGAGAAGTGTGTTCCCTGCGCACGTTTACGGTACTCCTGCGCTCGCCGGCGCAGCTCCAACACTTCTGCAAACCAGTTTGAGAGAGGAGCCTCCTCGCTAGCGTTGTTGTTGTTGTTGTTCTCTTTGTCATTGTTGGCATCTGTGTTTTCAGCACTCTATGCACAAACATGAAAAGACAGATAATCAAGTCCAGATAAACAGTGATAAAAATCATTTGGTTGTGGGTTTTTTAAAGTAAGCCTTTTACAGCACTTGCAACGCAATTAGGTCACATAAATGCTGAAGATAAGAAATGTTACAAGAGAGTAACAAACACAAAAAAGAAGGAGGGGAGATAAGGACGATAGATGTTTGATAGGAAAGAAGGAGCAAACCACACCAGAGCACCCGCCAACCACCAAAAAATCATTATTTAGATGGGGGGAAGAGGAAGAAGTACTGAAGGAGCCCAAAAGGAATGAAAATTTTGTGAAAATGAAATCTCCTCTAATAAAAGTTGAATTACAATATTATAATCTTTCCATAACTATAGCCTTGTCACAAAGGGTCACTTGAGCAAACTAAGACAATATCGCATAAGTAAGTTGTATACTTTTTGAACTGGCTTGACTTGTGTTTAGGAAATTCATTTATTTATCTATTAATTTTTTTGTAAGAGCTTATGGCGCTAGCAACTGCATAAGGTCATACGAGTGTGCGGAACACATTAAATATTTTCAGGTTGGTAGGAAATTTCGAATTTTGCGCAGGTGGCTGCCAAAATTAACTTTTAACAATTTTGGACCAACAAGGGATCTTTAATGTGTGCAACTTGCACACGGGTCCTCCGAGATTTTCCCCCCTTATCCAAAAAGGCTAGATATTAGATCTTACCTATTATAAGACCAGGGGTGTGGCTGAAAGACAGCAGTAAGAAGGAGCCATGGAGAAGCAGCAGAAGGCTGCAGAAAGAGTCAGGAGCCCAGAGGAGGGGGCAAATGAGGTGAGGGGATCGGTTTTCAGAAAGTAGAGATGAAAGCAGACGTCAGAACATTGTTAACGAGCAGGAAAGGAGGTGAAAGGAGATAATTTTAGAGAAGAAAAGTTTCTGTCGCTGTCCGGATTTGAACCCGATACCTATTGAATGAGAGGTGAATACCGTAACCTCTCGACCATGTGAGCCCCCTGGAAATTTTTTATGGCGCTCACAACTGCATAAAGTCATAGCAAGTCCATAACAACTCACCGATGTCTGGGGCATCATCTGTGGAGGGGCCGCCCCCCGCCACGCCCCCTCGGCATAGCTGTACCGCAGTGGAGATTTGAAGTTGGCCTTGTACTCTGACCCCAGGCGCCTAAAAGACAATCAGGAAAACACTACACGTATCACTAATTGGGTTCACAGCTGTGTTTACATCATAGGTGAAATGTGACAAAGGGGAAACATTTGGAAAACTTTCCTTTTGCCACTCAGGACTATTTAGTCAGGATAAAAGCTTACTTCGCAATACACACGAGTCTATAAATTAAAGAAGTTCGAAACACTGATCAGTATGAAGTAGATTTTTACAAAAAAACGTCAGAGAAAAAATGTCATTTAGGATTCCTTACCTGAAAAAAAAAACCCAAATGTTTTGCTACTAATTCGTTCTCAAGTTTTTCTTATCTCTCAAAGTTGAGGGAAACTAAAAAAGAAAAGTCAAGACAAAAAATGCAAATGCTGTTCAGAATTTGTAACTTTAAAAAAAATCCAAATGTTTTGCTATTCTCAAGCTTTCTTCATCTCTCAAAGTTCAGAACCACACTTCGGCGACCGGCAGAAAATGACCTATTGACACAACAGTAAGCTACGTGTTCTACTTACTTAATCTTTCCATGAGACTTCAGCAGCTTTGTCTTCAGCTGTTCCTCAGAATCGGCACCCTCAGCTCCCATCTCGTCATCGACTTCCTCAGGCTCTTGGTGCAAGACAGCTGTCAAATAATATAAACAAACATAATGACTGCTATAATACAGAAATGTTGTAAACATGAAGTGTGCTGACAAAATGAGAAACTTCTCAGATTTTAGTTCTAAGGACAAAGACGCAACGAATTCATATACGTTAATTTTGTACAATTTTAAAGTATGATATGAAAAAAAACATGTTAAACTTGAAGAAAATGACTTCAGGTGACAAAGTACAAATTTGACCCTTGTGTCAATTTTCGGCTGATATCTCAATTTTGGATTACGAGAAGTAACTCATTTTGTCAGCACGCCTCACAAATAAATAATCATGCCCTCCCATCAATGTAATTTAGATCATTCCCGACCCAGACAATTCTGCTCAATCATGGAACAAAGAGAGGGTGTAATCAGAGGCAAAATAAACACTAAATGTTGTTGCGATAGATCAGAATTAGCTAAAAACATTGAACTGGTTTTACTACATTCAATTTCTATAGAACTTCACTTTATTTTTCCAATCCAGTGGCCATCAGAGTTCTAGCCTTTCAGCCTGTCGATAAGGCAAAGAATTTACAGGTTTTTATCAGAAAAAATTTCCGCTTCATTCCTTTAAAAAAATACACAAGAACTACACCATGTTAACTTTGTTTATCAGCTCATTTTGTGAGTGACCCATGCAAACAGTTTACACATATTTTGTAAAAATTAAAACCAGTGAACTATATTTACCTCCTGCACTCTTGCTTCTCTTTGCCTGTAATTGTGAAAGAAAAAAAAAATCAAAAATACATAGTTTAGTTTTAGTAAGTGTTTTACGGCACTTGCAACACAATAAGGTCATATAAGTGCCGAAGATTAGAGACGTTACAAGAGGGTAACAAACACAAAAAAGAAGGAGGGGAGAAAAAGACGATAGGTGTTTGATAGGAAAGAAGAAGCAAACCACACCAGAGCACCCGCCAACCACCCACCAAAATACATTGACATCGATCCTATCTTGAACATTACATCATAAAAGGTATATAATAAAAGACAGACACACTCTAGTACAGAGAAATCTCATTTTGAAACAACAACTGCGTTTGCAAAACTTTCATATTTAAGTTTTTCCAGGCAAAAGACAATACTTCATAAACACGATGTTGGCTGACCCTCATCTTTGCATCGTCTATATGTGAGGTGTGCTGACAAAATTGGTCACTTCTCGCAATCCAAAAATCAAGATATTGGTCAAAAATTGAAACCAGGGTCAAATTTGTAGATTTTTTGTTAAAGCCATATTCTTTAAGTATATTATTCCTTTCATTATTTCGTACTTAAAAATTATAAAAACTTCACCTATAAGCGTGATGTAACTTTTTCCATAAGGCTCGAATCCGAGAAGTAACTCATTTTGTCAGCACGCATCACATATATATATAATCTCAGTTGAAGTTATGTTAAAGCACCGATACACTGTATCATCAACGTTTCTGTTTTTTCTCCTGCAGTCAAAATATGACAAAGTCTTTCACCTTTTCCAGGTCACTCTTGGTGCCCCAGAATTATGTTATCTCAACAAAAAAAGGAAACAACCCAGTGACTTTTCAAGCAGCTGAAAATAGACCTTCCCCGACATTGTGTCTCACAAAGAAAATTTTTCCTCCACAACATTTTTCGGTGATTTGCATAGTCATACGCTTAATATTTTTATACAATTCTTGCCTTGGTCTTTCTCAGTTCTTACAAATATTACACCTGAAGACCTGCTAGTTTTCTAAATATTTCTTTTGCATACTATCAAAACAATCATCGTACAGCACCAAGCAGCAGACAGAAAGTAGAAATAAGAATAACGAAGAATTGAAGAAATAAGTGGGTGTAACAAAGGGATGCGAAAATGAAATCCCTGAGTGTGAAAAGTAACATACCACGGTTCTCTTCTTCTCCTGCTTCTGTTGACTTGCTGCAGTAGCCATTTTCTCACTCACATTTAAGTTGACATCAGCGGCAAAGTCGGGAGCTTTCCACTTTTGAAACTGCTGCCTGTACTCTGACAGTTTGGGAATGGCGTCCGTTTTGTATGGGCCCAGCTCTGCATTGCTTTTGTACACAATCTGTACAAAGACATTTACATTGGGGGGGGGGGGGGGGGAGAACAGACTGAATCATTCACTTTGGTGAATACATATACTGATAAAATTTTCTCTTCTTTTTCTGCTGTCAAAATAGAAGTTGGATTCATCAGAACTAGAGATATCTCTTTACGTGATGAAAAGATCCAAATTTAGTAATGCATAGCTTTACTTTACATTTTACATTTAAAATATACAAAAGAGGCATCTGAGAATAGAATTTATGCTAAACAAAGTTTGTGTAAAAGTCATTTATAGTCAAATTAAAAGATTGCGACTGATGTTTCCACATTTCTGTAATGCCACCAATCTTTCTGAGAGATGATTTAATATATCTGTAATATCAAAAATTAGTAACAATGTCAAATAAATGCAATGTTAAAAAAACCTAACAACTGGAAAAGTTACGAATACTGTATGTGAGCAAGGCAGTCAAAGGATTTTTTTAAAAAACCTCTATGTTTTTACCTCTTCAGCTGCCAAAAGAGGTGAAGCTTTCATGCCATCTTTCCACTGGAACTGTCTCTGATACTCGGAAAACTTCTTCACCGGCCTTGGAGGCGCCACTCCGGCCTTGTACTTGAGCGCATACTCAGCCTGGGGGGAGATCAGGGGTAAATATAGTTGTTGGGAAAAAAAGCCTGAAAATTTTGAAGTGCATGGAAACAAACAGAACATTACACAATTCTACCTCTCACATTAAATGTAAAACTTAACATTGGAGGTACAGACATGGTAAATGTTTAGTAGTACATTTGAAATCATGCAAATTTACCTCTTTACATCAATCAGAAGAATGAACAGAGAACCAACAGACATAGAGAGTGTTTGGTCCTTGTTTACTTGCAGCTGAAAAATTGCAAATAACCGGATTGCCGGCTTTAGATTATAAACAAGAACAAAACTGAAGCAATGCACGCTCAAGCATGACTCACTGAACAACTAGTAGGTGTATAGCATAAGTTGTCCAGCTCCAAAGAGCACAGAAATGGTCTGCTAAAAGGCAAAGTACATGTAACATTTTTAACAGTGAGGTGTCTTTCACACTTACAGTACCGTCAGCAATTTTAGTCGTCAGGCAGTAGAATGCGGTCACTGCCGCTGGCGACTTTAGTAGTCGCTGACGCGACCAGGCACACTAAACATAATTAAGCAACGAACGGATGCACTGCACTGAAGAAAAAAACAAAGGAAGTCACTCTATATAATAGCTCTATGAATTTTTAAGGCGTGTTTCTTGGGGCTGCCAAGGTTTTTTTAATTTAAAAAAATTCTACCACAGCTTCAATGTTCTAAATTGGTGCAGTACTTGAGGGTTTTTCACTATGTGAGCATTCGGTACTGTAAGTGTTAACAAGTAAAGAGTAGAGTTGAACCTGATCTGTCGGCAACCTGTACAAAATAACTGCCTGTAAAAACGACCATTCTCACTTCCACTATAGCACTTTTTTCCCATATTATAGTGACACTGCCCAAGGTGATCAGCTACCTAAGATGACACCTTATCTCAGTGACAAAAACTGGTTGTCTAAGACATGTTTGACTGCACTACACAGGACTCCCAAGTCCATGGTCTTTTTTCAAGGTACTCTGTCCAACCTGCTCTGAGGAACAGGGTTTAGAAACGCCAAAACTTATTTATCTACTGAACATGTAAAAAAACCTGGGACCAATCCGATTCAATGGAATGAGAGGCAAGTATGCTATTGTGATTAAATTTTCTTTCAGACAGAAATACACAAATATGTTCTAATTTTTTTCTACCACCTTCTGGAATTTTCTGTTCGTCTTTCCCTTTTACTTACTGGAGCCTCTGGTCCTGACAAGGCCACGCCCTTTTTCATGTTGGTCTGGACAAACTCATTCATGTTGTTGCCACGCCCCTTCTCCAGCTGAGCGTCGGATTCCCGTGTCTTAACCCCTGCTTCTTTTGGAGGAGGAGCCTGATCTCCGAGCACATCCTTCAGGTCCTTGTCTCTGAGAGCTTCTTTGATGTCCAGGCTTTCTTTAGGGACTCTCGGAGCGGGAGGTGGAGACAGAATGGTGGAGGTGGTCGGCGCCTGACGGGGCGGGGACCGGCTCACGGTGGGGTGGCGCTCCTTGAATAAAGGTTTCTGGTGACAAATACCAGGGGTAAAAGTAGCCGCAGAAGCTAAAAAAGAACTCTATTGACAGCAAAACTGCATTGTATTGTATAAAATATCAAAACACTTTCAAAGTTAATGAGCATTTAGAGCAATATATAGTCCGGAGAAAGAACAGAGGCCACAAACGGTGAGGTGACGTTCCTTGAACAAAGGTTTCTGGTGACAGATACCAAGGGTTAAAGTAGCCACAGAAGCTAAGAAAGAACTCTTTCGATTGAAAAATTGTGTTCTTGTACATGAAATATCTAAACACTTTCAAAGTTAATGCGCATTTAGCTTCACATAACTTTAAATATCAAGACAATTCTTCCAGCCTATTGTAGCAATCACACTAGTGCAGATTTTCAACAAAAGAGAAAACTCCAATAAGAATTTACAATTCTTTTCTGTATACAGTCCGAAGAAAGAATTGAAACCACACCAAAAAAATCCTGGGATCCGTAAAATACATTTCAATTTGAAACATCCCTTAAATGGTTCCTGGATTCTACAATGATTACGTATTGAGAAGGGAATCTTAAAATCTTTTAACTCAAAAGCACTGCTGAATGTTGTATGTATAACTCATTTTCAGCTCTAAGAACAAACGATTAAACATTTTTCATAAGACATAAAACATGAAATATAAAACCTTTGCAGTGCTGGAAAGATAAGTATTCATGCAACTTTTAACATCAAGACCATTCTTCTAACAAATTGTAGCAACCACACTCATGCAGCTTTCCAACAAAAGAGAACCAGAAGAAGAACTTACAATTCTTTTCTGCATTTTCAACTGCTTGCTCGGTGGAGGAGCATTATCAAAATTCTCTTTGTTTTTGTAGATTTTCTGGCCTGAATGGGATGGTTTTGGCTGGTAGCGTACATTGGGAGCAAATTTCTCTTGTTGGCCTGTGGATTTCATTACAGAAATATTAACATATAACGAGTGTTATATAAATTGAAGAGACTAAGGTAGAATATTTCAGCAAATAAGCACTACATGAAACTGTAAAAGCACCAAAAAGAAACACATTACAGTTCACTGTTTCTTTTCAGATTTGAAGGAGAAGCTGCTTAAGCTGTAAGCAGAGTAGTATGAATTTCTTACTAAGGAAATACGAAAAAAACAAAAAAACATCCTTTCTCAAAAAATGTTCAGGAGAAGAATACTGACACAAAAAGAGTGAAACAAAATGGGTGGATGGGGTGGCGGATGGAAGGGCTAAGAAATAGGAAGACGAAAGACAGGAACATTAAACAGACATGAAACAAGTATCATCAGTCAGCAGTGAACTCCACTCACCACCTGCTCTCCCTCCCTCCCATTCAATATTAAACCACACACACAAAAAGCCCACCCCCAAAAAAACATTTATAAAACTCATAAACTCGTTCGTGAATGTCTTACCCAGAAGAGCATAGTCCATCTCCTTTGACGGGACACTGAAGTAGTTGGTGGACAAGGAGGTCGGCGGACCCTCCAGTCGCTTCTTGTGCTGCAGTGGAGGTTCCACGGTGAGGGCTGTTTGGGGGGGGGGAGGGGGGGGGGGGGGGGTTGAGGGAAGAAATGTAAACATAGGCCTAATGCATGAGACACATACTATGCACTTGTTAAGCTTTCAGTGTTAACAGAAGGAATATCAAAACTTTGAATGTGCGATGAAAATGTTAACGCAACGCATGAGGTGCATACTATGCACATGTTGGTTCAGCATTTACAGAAGGAATTTCAAAACTATGTACAGGCAACAAAACTGTTGACGCAAAGCACGATGTACATACTATGCACATGTTAAACTTTCAGAATTTACAGAGGGGATATCAAAACTGTACGGGCAAAAAAAATGTTAACGCAAGGGATGAAGTACATACTATGAAAATGTTTCAGTATTTACGGAAGAAATATCAAAACTTTGAACGCGCAATAAAACTGTTCACGCAATGCATGAGGTACACACACAATGCACATGTTAAACTTTCAGTATTTACAGAGGGAATATACTTTTCCGATCCAATTACTTTACTTTTCCGATCCAGGACAGAGGGAATATCAAAATTTTCAATGCACAATGAAAATGTTAATGCTACGCATGAGGTACATACTATGCACAAGTTAAACTTTCAGTATTTAAAGAAGGAATATCAAAACTATGTATGGGCTATAAAAACGTTAACCCGGTGCTTAAGGAACATATCACTGCTTGGAGTAAGATCTGTCATATGTCACTTTTCAAAATGGCGTACGGTGAAGTCTAAACACTAAGCAGTCAACATGTGCATGTAATTTTCATATTTACAGAGGAAATATCAAAACTTTGAATGGGCGATAAAACTATTAATGCAATGCCTGAGATATATATGTACATGTACTTTCAGTATTTACTGAAGGAATATTAAAACTTTGAACAGGCAATCGCAATAGTATTTTTAAAAACATAAGCTGCATGATCAGGTCATTTATGTTTACTTCCCTCATGACAACCAGAGTAGGAGGTTAACATATAGGACTGGGATTGAACCACATTAAAATTGTAAGCAATGCAAATGTGGGTGAAGGACTGGTATTTGTCAAAATAGGCAGATATTGGACAGGGGGGAGGGGGGGGGGGGGGGGGGGGGGGGGGGGGGGGGGGGGGGGGAGAGGTATGGTATAGTATGGTAGGTATTTACGGCGCTATAGATACAGTAATGGTCATGTAACTTGAAAGTGCCAGGAAAATGGGTAGAGGACAAAAATCACAAATTCTATTTAGATCATCTGTTTAAAAGCAAAATCAAATTCATTTACAAGCAAATAATCTTTCATCATATTTCTTAATACTGAGAATGCTCAACAAAAGGCTAACTTTTCAAATTCTGATAAATGTTTTAAACTATCACACATTCCCAGTTAAGAAGAAAATCGAACGTACAAAGTTTGTTGCCACTTCTATGAAACCACTGTGCACAAGTTAGTTGTTGACGATCATGCAAACATTTTGACTGAGACAAAAGCATTCTCATTATTGTGAACAAAGAAAGAGGGCAATAGTTGGATAAGGTGGTCAAATAATGAAGGAGCAAAAAGCCATTTAGACTTAGGAAATTACATTCTTCACTTACTGTTACTCACTTCAGGAAATTTAAAAACCTTATGAAAATTAATATTTACACTTCTGTTTTTAGAATAATTATGGAGTGTGGGTACAACCACTTAATCTAGTGCATGTCAACCTGTCAGATTTTAAGAGCTTATAAACAAAATCACATCTATGTATAACATATGCAAAGCTTTCAGTACTTCTCTGACCAGGAGGTTATCACAAAACTTATACTACCCATTTACCAGGTACTTTTCTGAATAATACACAATCTGCATAAACCCAGAGTTTTTGGGGTCAGTTACGTGTGTATGTAAAAAAAAAAATATATATGTATGCACCAAGCGTTTTTTTCTCCCTTGAATTTTGGTACTTAAAAGCAAACCAAAATATGAGTGCATGTCCGATTACAATATTAAGACAAAATAAGGGTTTTGACACACCTATAAATTCTGATTTATCATTGAGTAATTTCAAGGCATTTGACTAGCATGGGATACACAAGGCATAGCTACAAAATAAATGGATTTTTAGATAAGATATACCTTTTTGATTTTCCACAGAAAAAATTACCACTTAGCCACAGCACTATTAGAATCACTAGCCCTATGTATTTTAATGCAGTGACAATTCAGGGCACTGTGGGGTGGTGTACTATTGACCACACAATTGTAACACAGTGCTAATGGACACATACAAAGTGCAAGAAGTCTGGAAGTCTGCAGTACTTACAATATATTTCATATTTGATGAGAGCTCAAAATGAGCAAATTAAATTTTTACAAGACAAAATCCTTGGGGGGGTTTTCCTCCAAGCTGCAGTGTATACAGTTGTCACTGCTCAAGATTCTGCTGCTCAGATGTCAGGAAAAAGCTTAATCTTAGGTTGGTGAGATCTTAACTGAATTAGAACACTGAGCAAACCCATGACCCAAATAAATTCATCCTACTTTGAGGTCAATGTCAGTTACAATCCTAGTGAAATCTGTATCAAGGGAGGGGAAGCCTACGATGTAATTGGTGAAGAGCTGTCCATAAACTTGAACTCTCAAATTGGTCGGAACTGTAGTCATTGTATTTTGCGTAGTTAAACACCTACATTTTTCCCCTCACTAAAGCGAGATAACATGAGAAAACAATAGGAATAGGATGCTTATCAAAGTATATAAAAGTAAAACTGCAGATAATTCAGCCACATTTGAACCATATCAAGTATCATTGCAAAAATTAAACCAGCAAACGTGATAACAAGGCACCAACTTGTGTAGATGAGATACTATAGCCAGGCAGAAAAGAAAGCCTACATGCAACTTTCCATCTCATGCTTATCCTCAGATAAGATCACACACAAGCAGTGTGGTCACACACAAGCAGTGTGGTCACACACAAGCAGTGTGGTATAAGACACCCACTGATCATAATATAACTATCAGGAGAGGTGGCCACTAGAGAGAGATGCTAGTTGAAGACTAAATTTAAATTGGTATTGAGAAAAGCCGGATCTTTGCAGAATTTTGTCCCTAATGGTCAAGATCTTATCCCTAATAGTGGATGGTTTTATAGAGTTAAAAAGGTTTTGTAAGAAAAGCAGGGTAGGCCTATTCTATAAGACAATGGGATTTTAAGCAGAAACTGCTGCGTTTGGTTAAGCTGATATTATGCATAATATGCACCATTCTACAGCATTTTCATAAAATTGTTTTGAGCTTCATAATTTACCAAAGGAAGATAATAGTAAAAACAGTGTAACGTTTCATTGTCTCTTACACATAGCAGAATCTTATCAAATTTTTAAAAATTGTCATAAACTGCAAAGTAAAATACACCATATTTCATAGCTTTTAAATTGTTTGCCTTTATGATAATTGTTTACTTCACAAAAAATTCTAATGGAAACTCATTTTTGACCAGTTTATAGTTATGGACGGATGACCCAACAACAAAACTGAATATGATGAAAGGAGACGCCAGAATGGTTATCAGCTTGAAGGAACTGCTAGCAAGAATTGCCATTCTTATGAAAAGCCAGCCTTAAAATTTTCATTTCTTAGTATCTCACTTGGGTGCAATAAGTTAAAAATGTTTTTTTTTAAATAACCAAAAAAAACGAAAAAAACTTCTCCAGACAAACTGTACCACTGTGCAGTTTCTAACGAACGTGCCTGTGGCAATTTCACATGATGATTCAAACGTGAGAAAAATAGAAACAAAAAGAAAAGATATAATGTTTAATTAAAAAACAAAAATACCTAATTTGTCAGATTCAATCCCAGCACTGGGCCCTGCTGGAGCATCATCAGCCTGTGCAGAGCCAAATTTCTGCTTATACTCTGATGTGCTCTGCAGAGGCACAATATAAATAATATAGAATAACACACAAAATAATACTTGAGGACTATGTTATATTTGGATCTGGGGTTTTAGCTGTCTGACGGTAAAATCTTTAATTCAATCTCATGAGTCTTGAATCAGGTTCCACGTTCTGGGTACGCCAAGTTTCTGAGGAAATTATTTTAGTGCTCTGAGGTGAGAATGATTTTTACACCATGTGACTATCAAAACGACAATGACGTGACAAGTGAGACCATTAGTGCAACCCCACCAACAGATGTGACATGAGCCTGTAGAAAAGAAAGAAGACTGATAGCATTATTTTGTCCACAAGCCCTGAATATTAAAAAATTTCCAGTATACAGTGAAGTGGTTTCTGTAACTATAGTGAGTTAGCACATCTGGCTTCTACTTTTAATACGATTTCAAAGCAACAGGATTTCATTGCATTGCTCCAATATTTCACTCTGGTCAGATTTTTTACAAGCCCAGATATGCAGCAATAAAAAAGTGCAAGAAAGCTTTCCTTCTTGATTAGTGATTTGTCATTAAGTGACTACACGGAGGTAGAACTTAAAAGGAAAGGAAGAACCCCCATCTGGGAGATATTCCCACCTGCATCTGTCTGATATTCCAAAAGACTCCATTTGAACAAAACAATGCAAGGGCTTCTACTTAAGTTACCATAGCAGTTATTGTAACAGTACGAATAAGTGCTATAGTGGTGAGCTAGCACTCCATGCGATGCCCATGCACGATCACAGCTGGCAAAAGGAAATGAAACTGAATGAATGGAAATACTGACCATGATGTAGGTCTTTCAATTAACATTACTTAAAAAATGAATGATGATCAGACGTGTGCAAGAATTACCAAGATATTACTGGACAAACCAATTAATTATCTGGAGTGAGTATGAATGACCAATGTTAGAATTCTATGACTAGTAACAAAGAACAAAACTAGAAGATTGTGCATCAAGTTTTCTTTGATGAAAAAATTTCAACATACTTTCAAGTGAGTAAATCTTTATCTAAAATGTGAAGAGTTAAAAACTATTATCAATCTTTTACTACCTGCAAACATGAAAAATTCCATCCACTCTGTTTCATATCAAAGGTTATTAAATATTAATAACCTACGATGCACAAAATACAAGGCAAAAAGGTATCACCCAAGCCACTGACTGCATCTTTTCAATTCAAGACAAGAGTAAAAATGTTAAAAAAAAAAATATATGCAGCTTTCTCACTTCATCCTACTGACTGGGCGTATTAGTTTTATTTGTGATCATCAAAAATAGTTGAAAAAAGTTTTGTCAAAATTATTTAAATTCTCAAATTATAAGATTTGAAACATGATAAAATTGTAGTCTTTTTCAAGACTATAAAGAGTTCTGTTTCAATTACTTTAAATTTCAGAGGGTGGTGTGAATTAACATTGCACACATTGCAAAATACAACAGATAAACTGTGAGAATCTGTACACTAAATTAAAAAATGGTCTTAAATGCATCAACATAACACCAAGAAACTATCATATATTGTTAAAACTTGCAAGCTACAAACTGAAGAAAGGTAGCATCCACTCAGGGAACTCTTCAAGATGCAGTCATTGGAGGAACAAGCAAAGGACACTGATAAAATTTATATAAATATTATATCACTATATAATAATACAGGATGTCGTGATAGCTTGGGGTAGGAAAACAACAAGAGGCAGATGAATTTTTCTTCAGCATTTCACCAGAAAACTACACACATGAATTGACAGATATTTGGCCTGCACGCCGGGCAGCCTGCTCCTGCGAGGGCTGGAATGACTTGCTGCGGAAAGAGTCCATCCATTTGTAATGGACCTTGTACTCTGAGGCACCCTGTAACCAGGTCAAAGGAAGTTATAAAAAACAACAACAGCACATGAATACATTGTGCATGATTGCACTTGTACCAAGTCGTACTGAACATCACCTAATAATAATATAATTGATTTGCTAGCTAGTGCTAGTGTGTTACTAAACAAATAGCAGGAAGAAGAAACATACATCACTCTGAAGGAGTCGTTGTTGACTACAGTGTCAAGGAAGGCATTTTACGTTTAATTTAGAGAGTTCATTGCAACATGGGAGTTATCAATTCTGTCTATATATCATCTGCTCTTCTTCCAATTTTATTTCTCTTTGTTTTCAGGAAATAAAGGAAGGATTTGGGATGATATTGTTACGGCTTTGAACAAACTTTCCCTACAAAACAGAAAATCAGCTTTTCATAGAGCAGGCTTTATATTGACTGGCAACATTCCAATTCCAAGCGCCTCAAAGTGCTTCCAAATATTTCAATGAAAAAATAATAAAGAAGGCATTAAACTTAATCAATAAATGTGCAAATAACATGGCTTTCATTACAAATTTATATATAAAGATACCATAAGACGTTATATATTTCCACTTTCCAGCATTTTATTCAGATTTGTAGATTTGGAGAATTCAGGAAGGCCTATATTCGACTAACACATTTCTGGATAAATTGTTGTGTAGTTCTATACACTCCTATGTTGCCATTTTGCTTTTCTACAATTCCGGAGGGTGGAGGGGAAGCCCGATGAATTAAAAATCAAGTGGGTGGGGTGTCACCCCATGTATTTTCCCATACTTGGGGGGGGGGGGGGGGGGGGGGGGTACGTGTAACTTTCCCATGATTCGAATTTTTTTTTATTAGTACAAAACATTGGTCCAGCCATGTGGTTATTGAATCGTATCATATTGACTGAATTCTCCAAACCTAAATAAAAACATTGGAAAGTGGATGCCCATGGGCATGGGATTTCCATTGAACTGATAGCCCAGAAAGCTATCCTCCCTATTCGCGGCTAACTGTTTCAGTCCTGGGCCAAAGGTCTAGACTCAACTCAGTTTTGCCTCTTTTAAAAGGGGGGGGGGGGAGCGGGTTAGCTGGTTCGATAATGGCTTTCCAAGAAGCTTTTACTTTTACAATTTACATGAATAAATTCTATCATTTTGAAAATAAATTCATGAAATCAAACTAAAGATACAACTTTGTCAGGCTACCTGCATTTACAGCAAGTTAAAGGCAGTATTAAAGCAAGCAAAATATTAAGAGAAATAAGATTCAAACATCAGATTTTCAAATAAAGTTTTAAGATAAGTTCTTGCGATGTGTTTGGACATGATTTAATCAGAGAAATGCAGGTGGGCTGGGTCGGGTAAGTCTTCCCCCTGGAACTCACAGTAAGCGACTGTTATAACCTAAACTTTGCTCAGCTTCAATTTAGAAATTCAAACAATAATAATGAGACAGACACGGGGCTTGATTGACCAAGAATAAACCACCTTGAAGTGCACAGGCATCTTTATTCTCTGGGGAGAGCTCAGTAGCCGTTGCACACAAAATAATTTGGTTCTTCCCACCTAAACACTAAACAAACTGACCGGAAGTAAAACTTTGGCGTCTACCGCGACGCGCTTGCGCATTAGCTTCCAACACCGGAGTTTTCTCAAAATTTCTCCCAAGCTCGAACTCGCAGTCAGGCCCACGAAACAAAAAGCTTTTGTAAAATTTGGGAATGGAAAAATCAATCAGAGAAAGGCACCAGTGAATTCCACAATTCAAGCATGACACCTCCTTCACAGGCAAACCCCCCCCCCCCCCAAACATTTCTTAAACTTTTTTATAAACTTGCAATAAGAACACCATATCTCAGAACAGCATTTTTAAATTTTTTTTAGATGGGACAACAAGAGTCAAAAGCAAGACGAAATTATGATTAGAAGTGGATGTCATATTATATTATACATGTATGAAGATGAGAATTACCCTCACCCTCTACTCTTTGGAGCTGCCAATTATATATATATATATATATATATATATATATATATATATATATATATATATATATATATAATGTGCCTAATGTTATAAAAATGAATTCTCTTGTCATCACAGTTTCTTTCATGTATATGTCTTAGACTTTAATTAAGCATCGATTTTGTCATTTTTATCATTGAACTGAGGGCATGAAAAACGTGAGTTTATACTCAATTCAAAATGTAATGCATATCTGCATTTCTATTTTGAGCATTTTTGAGTTGGAAATTTGGGGGGTCTCCTCGACCATCCTTATCTATTCTAATGGTGAAAATGGGCCCCGCGAATTATTTCATGTTTTATTATGTTTGATCAAATGTCTTTTTTAAAATCTGAGTTCCCCCCTTCTTTCCAATCATGAGTAGGCCTACAATTAATTAGCTTTGCAATTGCTCCGTTATATATGCAGTTATCATTTATCATGTCATCGCATCAGTGGCGGGGCGTAGTGAAGGGCTAAAGAAAGGGCTTGAGCCCCACAACTCTTTCCCTACGTAAATGAATGTTTCTACTAATAAACAAGATAATCAGTTAACACCGTTAGAACTGTTTCAGAATCTTCCACCTCCGCCTATAGTCGCATGCAGAGAACACACGCACTTGCTCGTTTATCCAATCACTGTAGTTACTGCAAGCCCAGACAAAGGGGGGAAAGTTCATGACACACTTTCTCCAGGGACCCAGTAACCAAAACACGCTAACCTGTCCCGGTCGTTTTATGCAAGAAAAATTCTGATGAAATTATGCAAACTGAGCCCCAAAATGTGAAATTATGCGATTCTGTTAATTTTAACAAAGAATGTTAAAGGAAAATAATCAGAAATTATGCAAAAAAATGATCAAATATTGCTAAATTATACGGGGTGCATATAACCAAGGGGACAGACTAACGGGCCCTCGTTTTAGTAATGCCTTGCTTTCTACAATCACACTGCCTAATCCAGTTACTATTGTAAGTGTGCGTTTGAGTGTTAATTAAAAATAATAATTTTGGTAACTGTTTTACGGAGCTTGCAACTGCATAAGGTCATACGAGCGCGTTTGCGTGTGAGTGTGTGTATGAAACATAGTACATGTACAGTACTCACACATATCTAGAATGTCCTCTGAACCGAGGAAATCTTATCTCTGAACTCAACCTACCCTCATTTCTTAGCCCCATCCACATTTAGAAACACCCACCGCCACTGCATCACATTATCACTGCCTTTCTCATCCCGAATCAGGGTAGTAGGCCTATAATTATAATAATGTACTAAGGCCACACAATTTCCACCTTTCCCTATCCTGGGCGAAAATGCTTGATTCTGTATGTGTTCCCACTTTTCTGTACAGGTATGCCTCAATCTATGTGGTTTTTTTTTTAAATCTAGGCTAGGTTCTAGGTTTCACGTGGCCTTCCCCTTGACCTCTTACTAGTCTCACCCTATGGATTCCAATCCAACACTGTCTTTGTTATAGATGGCATTTTCAATTGATTTCAATGTTGAACAAATTATAATTACATACTGCAGTAGGCTATTTGTTGTGTTTTTTTCTCACACGATTAGAAAGGAAACGTGTAGTGTATGGAAACTCAGATCCCAATACCAATTTTTGTTCTGAAGTGATTTTGCTGTGTGCATTGACAAAATTACAATTACAGGCCTGAAACTTGGTAAAGCAAAGAATTGCTTCTGAACAAAGAATAAATAGCCTTCTTGTCATGCTTTGATCCTTATAATTCTTGTCAATTGGTGGAAAGGATTTGTACATGTACATTTTAACATTAAAAAAAAAAAATTGGGGGGGGGGGAGGGGGGGCATGTATTCCTTTTCTAAAACAATACCCCCCCCCCCCCCCTCTCCCTCTCTCTCTCAAGCCTCTTTGTCGGTCTGTCTCTGTCTTTCTCAATTTCATGTCAACCTATTTTTAATCAAAGAAACTCCATAATTATAAGTAAAATATAGTCGACGTCACTTCATTGTCGTACGTCAAAATACGAGGTTTTCAGGAGATCAAAAAGAAAAAGCAAACCACACTAGGGGACCTGTCAGTCGCCCATGGATCAGTTTCATACCTGTAGTTTCAAGTTCAAGCAAAACGCAGAAATTCGGGTCTCTGCTATTTAATTTTATTGCCTGCCGATGCCAAGTACCCGCATCAGCAATGAAGAGGAGGCGTTCATAGTTGTAGGAGGAGATTGACCCGAATAACTGACGGGCACAAAATGTCAAGACATGTGTTTCTTAATTTATATAAGGCGATTTTGAATTTTCTATGAGTTGATGCCATCGGGGATGTGAAAAATAGATAAACTCGTTCGAAGTTCAACTTTAACTTTAACAATTGGGAACAGTACTATAAAGAAGAAGCGCAGTGACTTGATAAAAAGTTCAACGCACGCGGAGTCGACTGTATTGTTTCAAGATTAAGAAATATCTCCGTGTGTAAATTTGGCGCTCGTTGAGTATTTTTATGGCGCCGATGTCTGTGGTCAGACGGTCAGGCGCTTCCCTGCTGTTACATAATAGAGATGTGGTTTCGACTCCTACTACAACATGTGCCTGGATGGGAACAGCATTTTATTTTGATCATTATCACAAACGATATATATATGTGGCGACCGGGTGTGTTCACTTTGCTCTGTGGAAGGTCTTTTTTACCATCATCTATCAAAATGCTTCCATCTTAACCATCTTGTTTAGTGTACTTACGACCTTAGAGCATGCATCAAAATAACATTGAGTGTGTATCTAGCTTACGATTATTATTGCTTATATTGCTGCTCATTTATATTATGCATGTGATTGTAAGCCTACTTGTGTGTGCATGTGTGTGCACGTGTGTACGTGTGTGTGTGTGTGTGTGTGTGTGTGTGTGTGTGTGTGTGTGTGTGTGTGTGTGTGTGTGCGCGTGCGTGTGTACTCGTGGTGGAACACCAAACCAATGTGCCAGGATCTGGACAATAAAGATGTATCTTATCTTATCTCTCTCAGTTGGTCTTTCAGTTCCAATATGAAGGCGCGTTGTTGTGCAAGCTTCTTTCCTGGTCACTACTAAGTACCTATTAACTTTTATTGAGATCACAAATAAACCAATCCCCACTGTAATTGTGCCACGCATAGTACTTGTGTACAGGCCTTGATCTATGTGTTTGTACAATACAGTACATGACGTATTCAGTACAGTGGAAACCTGATGTAACAGTAACAGGGATGGTGGGACCAGAGAAAAGTCCTGTTATATGAGAAATGCAAGGGAAGTAAGCATTTGTGGACTAATCCAGCTGTATTTATTCATGAGTAGTTTCCCATGGCCTGCGCATGACATATTCTTATTTATTTTGTTTTGTTTTCGTAAATGTTTTACGGCGCTCGCAACTGCTTAAGGTCATATGAGCGCGCGGAACACATTAAACCTTTTCAGTTGGTAGGAAATTTTGAATTTTGCCCGTGTGGCGGCCGAAGCCTACTCATATCGATTTTAGACCACCAAGGGATCTTTAACGTGCGCAACTTGCACACGGGCCCTCCGAGATTTTTCGCCCTTGTCCGAGAAGGCTAGGTGTAGATCTTTCCTATCAGAAGATCAGGGGTGTGGCTGAAAGACAGCAGTAAGAAGAAGCCAAGGAGTAGCAGTAGAAAGGCTGTAGAAAGAATCCGGAGCCCAGAGGAGGGGGGCAAAGGAGATGAGGGAGTGGGGGCAGAAAGAGGAGACGACTACGAAAGCAGACGACAGAACATTGCTAGAGAGCAGGAAAGAAGGTGAAAGTGAAAGGAGACAAATTCAGAGAAGAACATTTTTCGGTCACTACCCGGATTCGAACCCGGGACTTTTGAATGAGAGGCCAACACCTTAACCTCTAGGCCACGAGAGCCCCCTATATTATTCTTAACTTACGCTTGTGTGTAGCTAGGCTTAGGGCTCGACCGAAGTCAGCAGCACACCGCAGCCCTCTCTCGCTTCACCCGCTGCGTTACTCTCTCTCTCTCTTTTTACACCTTGTTCATGAGCCATTGTCCCTGCTATAACTACATGTATAACTCACTATAACCAATTGGGCTTCGATGAAGCTGTTGTTGTAGCCGATAACTTTTAGTAGAGACAAAGAGTAGGACCCCCCCCCCCCCCCCCCCCCCGGGGATTTAAAGAACCACTGTTATTACCCGATCCCTGTTATTACCGGGCCTGTTATAGTTATACACATGTACTTCGAAGCACAAAGTAAAGGAAGCGATGACCTTGCACAAAACTTTCTTTGCTCCCTTTTTAAATATATATATTTTTTTTTTACCGAATACTGAATTGAATTTCAGTCAGCAACTCCCCACCCAGCTGCTTCAACTGCTTGTTGTAGTTGTGGGCTTCAGGCAGTAGGCTTATGCGTTTGTCCAAGATAATCTCTGACCTGCCCGTCATCTTCAACATCATTGCCTTCCTCACCCTGGATCAGGATACACAATACACCACGAACACCTTCCACCTCTACCGGACTAGCCGCTTGATGTTATTCCTTATATATATCAATATCATGTCTTCCCACTTTTCTGTAATCAATTTCCGTGTCTCATCTCCAAGTTCCACGCGCTCTCCCCCTTGATCATACTTGGAACTTGTGCACACGAAAGAGGGAGAAGGAAAGAGAGAAAGAAATAGGTTACATTGTATTAATTATTGTTACAATGTTACATCCAAAACCAGTCTTTTCAATGGACGGGTGACACAGCAGAATCATTTCCCTTGACGTTCGGCAGGCAGCCGAAGTTTTTTAACCCTATCCGTACGCCCTGGGGTCATTTTGTATACCCAGTGTTGTATTCTTGACATTTTAGATTATTTAGAATACTTCTAGTTCGAACATCTCTTTGTTGAAACTTTCAGTATTTCTCAAAAAATCATTCTGACAGACTTTTTCTATGCAAAGCATTCCGATCGGATTAATAAAGAATATATTTCCTCTTTGGAAAGTGGTGGCACAGAGTTCCCAATGTCGTACACATGTATGTATGGATAACTCTACGGAGGACAGCATTAGACTAGAGAACCCCCGTTACTCCACAAACTTCATTACTGTCCCCAAGGTTGGCAATATAACAAGGTATGACAATGACAGTACACTACAGTACAGCCACAGTCGGACTTGTCCAACACGGCCATCCATTGTCGAGGAGAAAAGAGGTAATTGTAGACAAGACAGTGACTGACAGTCCTCTTGGACTTGGGAGTGTCTAAAAACGCAAGGGAAAAAGTGAGAAGTGGCCATTTGTACAGGAGATTGTTAGAGCAAGTTCAACAATATTCCTTTAACTTTAACCCCTTGGTTGCCAGGTGGTGAGCGTACCAACTGTTAGATCTAGCACATAATTTCCACCAAGCTCATCAGCAAGGACAGCAGTCTCAGTGGACTCCATAGTGCAGGCCTACTCATGACATAATCAGACCCTAGGTCTTTGATAGTTTGTTTAGTGTTTTACAGCACTTTCAACACAATAAGGCCTTAGGGCCTTGACAGACGAGCTACACCAATAGTCACGCAGTCACTAGTAAGTGTCGCTTACTTTTGTGTGGCAGCCATGCCAGGCGACATTTAAATTTAAGGCTACTGCTCAGTTCAACATGGACGATCGGAGAGTCAGGGTGGCTTTGGTCATGGAGGGAATATTGTCGTGTTGAATTTGAATGAGAAGCAAGAGAAAACATAACTATTGTAGGAATGCGCCCCTCGAACTTTCAACTGTGCTTCACCAAGATGCTGGTGTGTCGCAAAATGTGGGCAACACACATCTGCTACGCCAGGACTGAAAATGACACCCATTGCTCATGTGACCGCTTCCATAGTCTACAGTGCATCACCAGACTGAGCAGCAATTCCTGCTGCATTTTTTACATCTCATGCGTCAAGGCCCATAAATAAAAGCAAACGGTTAGAGGTGTTACAGGAGAGTAACAAACAAAAACAGAAGAGACATAAAGACGATAGATGCTTTTAGTTTTAGTAAGTTCTATGGCCCTTGCAACACAGTAAGGTCGTACAAGTGCTGAAGATTAGAGTTTAGTTTTAGTAGAGGTTTTTCAGCGCTCGCAACTGCATAAGGCAGGTCATATGAGCGCCAGAAGATTAGAGGTGTTACAAGAGAGTAACAAACATAAAAAAGAAAAAGGGGAGACAAGGGACAATAGATGTTTGACGGGAAAGAAGAAGCAAACCACACCAGAGCACCCACCAATAGATGTTTGAGTTTGAATTCGATAGGAAAGAAGCAAACCATTCCAGAGCACTGTCTTCGATAGAGTCACTTTCCTAATCCCCACATTCCTAAATATGGCAATATAATTTAACATGACTTGCAGAACTCCCAGTGAATCAGTATACTTCCTTTTTTGTCATTTAGGTATTAACATTTTTAGAGAGCTTGTGGCTAAATCTCTGTACAGAAGAGCCATATTAACGTACCAATATATGAATTGCAGGACTTGCAAGTTCACATCTGATGGAAAGTCAGGAACAGCTATTTAAATTTTTTTTTATAGTAGATGGTTTTACGATGCTCGCAACTGCATAAGGTCATATGAGCGCCAAGGGGTGGGTATCAACAAAGAAGTCTTTACAGGGAATCAGACTTAGACTGCTCACCTCTCTAGCTTCAACAGCACAAGGTCTGCTACAGCAAATTTTGCCAACTACCATGATGTTCCTATCATGGCGTAAATGATAAAGCTAAAAATTATGGACTTTCGTGATGTACTACGTATGTCGTAGGGTAAATACTCTCTAATATTACCCCAATTCAGTAAGATACAATTTATGGTTGGGAAAAAGGGTAGGCCTACTACCAGCATTAGTCTCGGCTTCGGTACTGAATGGCAGATGGCACTTGCAACCCAATTAGGTCATATAAAAAAAATAAAGAGGTTTTACAAGAGAGTATCAAACACAGAAAAGGAGGCGAGATAAGGATGATAGATTTTGATAAACACACATGAACTTCATCACAGAAAAACAAGGTCATCATTGATTTAACGATTCTTTCACCACAACTCAAACTTTATTTCCTAGATCATATTAGGCTTAGAAAGTTGTATGTGGCCGGCTGGTGGTAAAGCGAGGAGCATGAAGTTTTCTGTTGACTCTGTGAGTAAGAGGGAACTTGATCTTGGAGTCCTGGAAGAGCAAAGAAAGGGGGAAAAAAAAAGTCAATACAAGATAACATGGGATCTGCACAGTACCACAATCCTACCCATTTACAAGACGGAAAAATAAGAATAATAACTGAAGAATAAATACTTTGACAGGACTAGAACCAGTTGTCACTTGCTACCATCATACCAAACTTTCCATCATAATCATATTGAGTTATGTGATTTTCTCAGACTTCAGATAGAAAGAAGCTATTGTAGGGTCTAACTATCACATCAGAAGTGCTTCTATTCTAATAATAGAGGAAATTTTGCACGATTACAAGAAATGTATCATCAAACATACACTACACATCATGTTATACCATTTTTTTTTTTACTTAAAACGATCCAAAACACAAAAGTTGACCTTTCTTTACTCAGTTATGGTTCAAACAACTTCAAAAGTCAACTGAATAGGCTCCCAAGTGCCAGGATCATAGACCTGCATGTGAGCCTCAACCAGATTGTCTGAAAATTTTGTGCAACTCCCCCCCCCCCCCCCCCCTCCCAAAAAAAAAAAAAAAAGCATTTGTGGGTGTCATAAGGAAGGACATTCGAGTAACCAGCGACCACCCCAACAAACACAATAAAGAAGAGACCTAACCCTAACCCTACCCCCAAAAAGAACCTGCAACGGGCCTCATATAAAAAGGCCAAAACAAGTTCTAAATGGAAAAAAAAAAAATTAAAATACCACACTCCAAAACAAACAAGGAGCATAGATCTAGATCTATGGCTTACATCTGCATTGCTATAGGGTTTGATCTAGATCTAGATCTTGTAGAACAAGTGAATAGGAATAGGCCTTGAACTAGAAATCCGCATCCGATTCCGAACAGAGGGACTCAGCTGAGTCTAGATTCTAGATCTAAATAAATAAATAATTCACGCACCTAATGAAATGCTTATTTTTACCAATATTAATATTACAGCACAACCTATGATAGGGTTTGACACAATAGAATTGGAAATCCTCCATTGAGGTCTATAATGATCTATATAAATCTAGATCTAGATTCTATTAGAACAAGAGAGTCGGACTTGAAAAAATCCACACGATCTGAACAATTGAATTAGTCAACAAACGAAATTCAAAATGGCCGCTCGAGCACGAAACTGAAAGTAGATAATTTAGGCTGTCGTCCTTTTCCGTATTCGCATTTCTACTTAGGTTCCGACAATTATGTCGGAAACGCCGACGCCGGCAGTCGGCGGTGCGCGCGTCGGCGGTCGGCACGAAAACGAAAGTGCCCAAAGCCGACGGGGAAAAAAGGGGTCGCTGGCAGTCGGCCAGGCCTCGCACTACGCACATTGACTGATACAGGTGGGCCTAGCGATAGCATCGGCCGGTTCGCGATTGTCGGATTTCAGACGATTGTCGGCAAACATGCAGGTCTAAGGATCAGATCTTTGTCATCAACCTAGAAGCCTTTACACCCTTTCTGCTCCATCATGGTCCACTTTCTACCAAAACTTCACCATAACCTAGCACTGCAGAAAGCTGGCTATCAGCTTTGTTTGCTGAAGCATGTTGACACACGATGCAACAAAACCAGATGTCAACGTTCACTCGACTGCTGACTCCTAACAGAATACTTCTACGAATTTGAGGTAATGTTTAAAAAGACATACCCTCGTCAATGCCCCCAAATTTAACCAGTTATGCCATGCCCGTGTTTTGAATGCAAAGAATATATAAGAGAAAATTCGGGACCTGAAATGCTTGTTTGCTATGCCTGTGTGTTAGACTGATTTCTGATCACACATGTTTGAATTAGGAATACTTCAGATTTATAACAATTTTGATATCATCAGACATAACACGAGACCTGGGCAGGGCTGAGAATGAAACACCACAAAAAGGCTGAAAATTTAGGTGGAAGAGGAGGATATGGGATATCCCCTCGGGGAAAAAAAAATAAAAATAAATACATTTAAATTATAAAATAAATAAAAACCCAGAGGCACAAAATAGCAAAATCTGGTTATTTTGGAAGGATTTGAGGTCTTATTTTGTTACCATAATTCTAGAGAAAAATAATTACTACCAAAATACCGTCAAAAAGAACATAAACCATTACTATACATCATTCTTGAGATGAAAAAAAAAAAATTATTCACAGGGTTCACACATCTTTGAAAGGCCATTTCCAGTGGTTTAACCCTAACTCTGGCAAGGGTCGATTAGATCGGCCCATTTCCTGCCATGAAACTGGCAGGGCCGATCTCATAGGACGATATAGTAAACTGCTGCTTCTGCCTTCCAACTAAATATTTGGGGCTTCCTAAAGTGATTTCTGATTGGCTAAAATGCTAACCTCCAACCAATCAGAATATTTCTACCATTCTGGCTTAGGAGAAAAGTATTTTGCTTTCAAAACAGACGGATGTTTTGAAAGTGAAAGCTTGTTGATCAGGTCACAAGCCACTAATGCCAGTGTAGATCTATCACTTGTGTGGGTCTAAAATGGCCAAAAATCGATCTTTTTTTGGATACATTTGAAAGTGAATTGACTAGGGAAAGTAATTCAGACACTGTTAGTGGTGGATTTATTGGTGTTCAGTCAAGATTGGGATTAGATCTGACAGACAATAGGGATACATGTACCAGTTCTCATCCTGCCCCAACTTCTCTTTCAAATGGAACACTAGATTCTACTACTTTGGGAGTCGAATAGGGGCAGAAAAAGGAGAGCTATAGAGTAAAGTAGGTTCCTTTTGCTATACTAATTATTACAGACTACCAGCAGATTGCTGAAAGCCACATGGTTGTACTTAGAGTGTTTTTATGTTGAGTATGGTATGAAATTAGCGAGTATCAGCTGCGCTCGAAACAGACCACATGACAAATTGAAACAGTCATAACTCATTGCCTGTTCTTCTCAATCCTATAAAACTATACATTTTCTGAAAGGTAATTGAAAAACTCATATTTCTGCTATCTCACATTTTTTATAACAGGAAATGCATTAGAATGGTGAATATGCTAATGAGCATGTATATTTTTTGTCAGCCATCCTGGACTTCAAAAATACATAACCCCTTGAAAATTAAATAAAATCATATGTTCAATGGCAAAATATAAAAGTTCATTCAATTATCTTTCAGAAAATATATACTTTTGTCGGGTTTTTATTTGATGCAAGTCCATAAATTGGATTTGTAAAGCATGTGCACGTTTTGGCTGATTGGCCCTGCCATTCCTGTTAAAACCACTTGCCAGAGTTAGGGTTAATGATTTTGTGGAGCAAAATTTTATTTTCAATGATGAACAAGGTTGTGATATGCGCGGGCCAAAGTCGCCACCTAACTACCAGTACTCGATTGCCACAGCTGAAGGTGATTCTACCAGTAAAGAAGAATAAAAAGTAATCGATTGAACAATATCGGCCGAACATGGATCCACACGCACCTCGGTTTCGCCCAGCGAGCAGTTAAAAAAACTTGTAAAAATTATTATCGTCTTTTATTCAATTCTTTAAAGAAAATCCTTACTACAAATTAAAATACGAAACTTGGAAAAAAGGCGGAAGAGGCGTTTGGATGAGCGGAATTCCGCCTTTAGGCGGACAATTCTCAGCCCTGCTGGGATACAGCACTACAGACTTACATGAAACTGCAAAGTGCTGGGTCTCCTGCACTTGTTGGCAGCAATCTCCTCCACCTTGATAATGTGGATTGAGTGAGCACGGGCCCTGTGACGAGCTCCCATGTCACGGTCTGGAAAAATCACAACAAAAAGAAGTGTTTAACAGCAAGCCGGGGGAAAACATTCATGCAGACCTGATGAAAAGAAAACTGCAGTGAACTCGGGACGTAAACAAAAACAAAATCATAACATGATATATTATGTTAAGCCTACTTTCCATGAGATGTTATTCAATAGAACACCACCACGTCTTCTTCCACCCCTAGATTTTGAATTCACAGCAACAGTGAAAAAAAGCAACAAGAACCTTCTGAAATCTAAAGACAAAAGCAAGAGCACCACGAGACAGCGTAAGAATGGTATACAACTCGCTGTATTATATTGTAGCACCCAGATTCACTTCAGACTCAAATATAATGAGAGAGAAGGCGACTGGCTGCATAAATAATGTAGCACAGATATTGAACAGATCGGACACTACAGTTCATCACTGCTTCAGTTCTGTGCATTTTCACATCACTCTCAAACAAAAAACAAATCATGTTTAAACATGTCTTTGATAAGGGATAAATTCAAGATGTTTCATGTCGTGCTTTAGTTCTACCCATGGACAAAGAGCTTTAGGTCTACCCATGGACAAAGAGCTTTAGGTCTACCCATGGACAAAGAGCTTTAGGTCTACCCATGGACAAAGTGCTTTAGGTCTACCCATGGACAAAGAGCTTTAGGTCTACCCATGGACAAAGTGCTTTAGGTCTACCCATGGACCAAAGTGCTTTAGGTCTACCCATGGACAAAGTGCTTTAGGTCTACCCATGGACAAAGTGCTTTAGGTCTACCCATGGACAAAGTGCTTTAGGTCTACCCATGGACCAAAGTGCTTTAGGTCTACCCATGGACCAAAGACTGCAAGAAGTACACAAACCTCTGAAGCTATGGCAGGTGCAAAAGACATATATATGGGAGGGGGGTGTTCCAAACTGAGGTGGTTCCTTTTAGTTTGAGTAAGAATATTTTTGGCACTTGCAACACAAATAGGCCATAAAAAAGCAGATCATATTGTCTAATACATCTTGTATCGCTACTTATTTTTATACATGGAGCAATATAAATACAAAAAGAGCCTTAAATATAATATAAATACTTCATGTATATTACAAAATTTGGACAGTTTCAGAACCATAGATTTCCAGGTTTATCCAGATAATCCACACCACAGACAGAAAAGAAGGATAGATAAAAATCAAAGTTGGATGGAAAAGGAGCAGCAAACAACGCCAGAGAATCTGCTAACCATCCACAGAAGAAAAGAGTAAAGCATACCTACATCAATATTATGGTAATCTCTTATGGTATACAACTAGCTGTATTTGATTGTAGCACCCAGATTCACTTCAGACTCAAATATAATGAGAGAGAAGGCGACTGGCTGCATAAATAATATAGCACAGATATTGAACAGATCAAACACTACAGTTCATCACTGCTTCAGTTCTGTGCATTTTGACATCACTCTCATACAAAAAAAAAAAGAAGGGTTAAATGCATCTTTTTTAAAGTTTTACAGCACTTGCAACACTTCATGAACATTGCAAAATCTGGATAATTTCGTTTTTGTTGTTTTCGTATGAGTTTTACTGCCCTTGCAACACAATAAGGTCATAAAAGTGCTAAAGATTAGAGACGAGGTGTTACAAGAAAGTAACAAACACAAAAAAGGAGGGGAGATAAAGACGATAGATGTTTGATAGGAAAAAAGGAGCAAACCACACCAGAGCACCCGCCAACCACCCACGGACAATTTAAAGATTTCTAGATTTATCCATATAATCTGTACCACTGACAGAGAAAAGGAGGATAGATAAAGATAAAATGTTTAATGGGAAAGAAGGAACAAACGACACAAGAGCACCCGCCAAACATTGAAACATCCACAGAAGAAAAAGGGAGTCGGCCCACATCAACTTGACTGCCATCTCCCATGAACCACAGATTAAATTACTCAGTATTATTAGATTTAGAACCTCGAAGAAAAGCTCATACAGATTACAAGGGGCTCAATTCATTTAATAAAAAAAAAAAGAAAAAAAAAGAACTGGCAACTGTGAAACAACATATCACCCAAAACGCAACACTGCATTATTTTATCACATTGAACCTCAGCCAGGCACAGGCAAAAGAAATTTGACAGTATTTTTCCATGCTCATTTTTTTGCTCTATAAGTTACATGGGATGGGATTTAGTGTAACAACCAGGATTCACTTCATGCTCAACAAGTCTGAGATAGAAGGCGACTGGTCGTGCATTACTGTTGCACATTTTGAAAACAGGCACAGTAAAAATGACTTTACCTGTTTCAGATATGTGCACATTTCAAACTTACCCCCAACCCATTTTTTAAAGTCTCTACAAAAGACTAATAACGTTGAAATAAGTTAAAAAACTATTCCACACGAAGCAGCAAGATTGTGGATAAGAGAAAGAATGAACAGATCCATAGGTATATATAATACATGATTGTTGTTAAAAACTGTCCCTATAGGTGGGAGAATACCATATTTTGAACAAATACTAATTCACATCCTATTGAATGAAATTTAAAAGATTTTTTAAAAAATCCCCCAACCTTCAATGAGATGCTGCTTTGAACACAACCCTCAAACATCAGACTACGAGAGTGCAGATTACTTAAAACAAAATAGGACATTCACGTTCAGTCAGGAAGCAAAGAACCAAGACAACAAATACGCAGAATACAAGCAAAAGGAGCCGATCACAATTGAGAGTCCCAACAACCAACCATAGAGAAAATACGACCAACACAAACTATAAAGTTAACACGAGGGATAAGAATGACGAAGTCATTGCAATACCCCGCTAGGACAGGGACATGCAAAGACCATTCAGTCTCAGTATTTGATTACTGGACCACTTAGACTTAAGAAAAGACAAAGAGCAGCACTGGACCCGACAATAGTAATCACATGAAGAAGGCGGTTTTATAAAATAACAATAGAGGTGTTAACAGCTGTGAGAATATGAGTATGGCTGTCTTACTTATGTTAGTCATCTAGAAACCAGAATGAAGTAATGAAATTATGTCTGTAACGTCCAGGATTCACTTCACGCTCAACAAGTCTGAGATAGAAGGCGACTGAACGAACATTACTGTAGCACATTTTGAAAACAGAAAGCAAAAAAATCACTGCCTGTTTCAGATATGTGCATATATTACAATGACATAAACATAAGACAATAATATAGTAATATGACTGCAGCAGTACGTTGAAGGGTACCACAGGCAGGTTTTCTTTACCCCCCCCCCACTTCAGCTGACTGCTAAAAAACAAGTTCCCAACAGAGCAGGTAAGGACAGGGCGCACGCAGAATAACAGTTAAGTGTTACACTACAGGTACTGATAGTAGCCGATACAATAATGAAAACAGGCAAAAAGAAGCCCACTCACAACAAAAACAGCTGAGCTCAAAATATAATTTGAGAAAGTAAACTTACAGCACTGTGTGACAGCCTTGCCAGCGGTCAAGTCTCTGTATTCCCTGTACATGTTGTGGGTGCCACTGCGGGAGTTGTAACGAAGCCAGATACCGAAGTTCTTGATCTTCAGAGGCCTCTTCTCGTAAATCTAGTTGGAGAGATAATTAAAAAAAAAAAGAAATAAATAAAAACACAACCCCCTTGATACAAATAGGAAAATTATTTCCATATCATTGACCAGCTTTCCAGATGCACACAAAATAAAAATATTGAATTAACTCTTTGCGCCCGGAATTTTTTTCCAATGACCCTCACAAAACGGAATAAATTTTCTCAGGAGCACCTTCTACAATAGGGTACCTTATTCAAATTGATTCTCTCGCCATATTTTTTCAATCAAGGTACATATTCTAAATTATTTGATATTACTGGAAAGGTAATTGAATAAGCTATCACAATAGATGGGTTGCATGGTTCTTTTGTGTTTTATGTAAGAGCAATTACACAATACAGGGGGATAATAACTGAAAAACAATGAAACTGGCTAGTTTGAGGAGTTTTATTTAACTTGCTGTCACCATTATCCATGAAATACAAACATACTCAACAGAAATGTTTATGTGTAAATCGCCTTTGTAATAATACCACATACATTGTACATTGGTATTCCAGCACAGAGGACTTCCGTAACGAGTGACCACTACGAACAGTAGAACAGAGGGGTAGAGGTTGGGTTTAGGTCTCTTCTTTATTGTGTTTGTTGTGGTGGTCGCTCGTCATGAAAGTCCTTCCAAAGCAACTTACTCTGTTGACACTGACAATTTCACCAGTTGCCTTTTTCAGCTTTCTCAGCTGACTCAAGAAGTACCAGAAACGACTCTTTGCGACAGCCTTGTCAGGGGCAAATATCCTCATCTGGTACAGAGCAGGCGTTCTGTTTTTCTCGGAGGGGAGACCCCTGCCGATCACCTTGTACTCTTGCAACTGAAAAAGAGTCAAGAAAATCAATGTAAAATTTTTTTTTTAATTCAACCCTCTTGAGTTATTAAAACAAGCCAATTTATATTAGAAGAACTTGGTGTTGATGCATACGACCAACCAAAAATAGATCTAGAATCTAGATCTTGCACTTCCCCTTTTGACCACAAGGACACCAACAGTAGGTTTTTTTTTCTCAAGACGACTGACTGCTGAAACACTATGGAGCCATCAAAAATCAACGTCTTAGACAGAAGTCCTTTACCAAATCAACACATTCCTGCCTAAAATGACACATTACCCAAGCCCTAGATCTAGAATCTCATAGCTGCCACTCAGAAATTTTTTAAAAGGAGGAAAATCACACGATGGCGCACGCGCGCTCTCCGAAACCAGTGAGAGGCAAATATACTGAAAAATCTAGCCTGCGGTTTTGGAAGGGAAAACTTGTCATATTGTTAACCATAGGCAACTGAATTAAAATGTATTTGAAAAAAAAACCCCAACAAAAAACCATAAAGGCAGTAAGTTGACTAACAAGCATTTGAGTCAATTTGACACAGTTTGGACTTGGTGACTAAAAATCCAGTGTTTTTTGCCAGCTGGTGTCTCATAAAAAGATTTCTTTCACTTTAAACTTGTACTTAGACGTAGAGCAGTATCGGATCAAGGATGCAGGCAGTCCTGTACAATTGCGGTCCCGTTTGCACTTAGTGCCCTTGTAGTGTGTTTCTTATTTAGAGATTTAAACTGAATTAAAATTATAGCCTAGGCTATCTAATCATAATCTAGATATATCTAAATATGTGTAGATCTAGATTATATCTAGAGATACATCTTTTAGATCTAGATTCACTTCCACAGCAGCCACAATAGCAGTTATGTAAACAAACGGGACCGCAATTGTACAGGAGTGCCGCGGGCCGCGATTTCTTTAGCAAAAAACGGCTAGGCCTAGATCTAGATCTAGTTCAATTTTCTAATGAACTTTTCAAGTCGCACACCGGCTGCTTCTTTCTCATTCCAGCTCCTTTTATTTTGCATTTTGAATCAATTTCTCTCGAATTTCTGCCAATTTCAATGACAACTCGGCGCGCTAACGCACCGATGCCCGATCGACACTATTGTAGTGTGTTGCTCCACAACAATAAACAATTTGAAACTAGCGATGGGCCTAGAAGAACGGAAGTAGAAAGCTACAGGCGGACATGCGCAAGCAGCGTTTTCATCTCTCTCCCGGTTCTGTGTTTTCCGCCCGGGAAAAAAGTATGAAATTTGTGACCAAGAGCGGTCCAGCGGAGGAAGTTGCGGGAAAAGCTAGATGAAACGGAATTTCCGCTATTTAGCGGGAAAGTGGCAGCTATTGAATCTAGAGTACATCCTGTGGTGCGATATACAGTAAGCGATCTTTTGTGGATATCTCTGGAAGTTACAGGTCGATCTTCATGATTTTTTCACCAGAAGTTAGAAAAACTTCCTCTCTATACGGTGTAGCGCATTACTGTAACAGCAGTTTAAAATTTCTATATGTTGTGGTGGTGTTTGGTAACGTGTGTCTGGTTTGGTGCGCAAGGTTTCTGGTTTGGTGCAACATGTCTGGTTGGGTGCGCAATAGTACCATGTTTACAGCTCTAGATCTAGATCTTTTCTGACACTTTTCATCTTTCTCTATCCTGGCCTTGTCTTCTTTTCCTTGCAAGAAGTTCCTGTACTGACCATAACGGAAGGCAAAGGTCAATGAGGCGTGTTCTTTTTGGGAGCTGTGCGCCCCCTTACAGGAGATTTCCTTACACTGTGTGTATGTGTTTTGATAATGGATAAAAAGAAAGGTGCTGTGGACACAAGAAGGGGAAAGAAGAAAACAAGAATTAGACTAGGACTAGACTAGTATTTTTGAAGGAAAAGGACCCAAAAAAAGAAGAAATTGAAATAGAAAGGTGCTGTGGACACAAGGAGGTTAAAAAAGAAAACAAGAATTAGACTATACCTAGACTAGTATTCTTAAAGGAAAAGGACAAAAAAGAAGAAGAAAAAGACATGAAAAGAAGAAATTGAACATTTTGGAGATTAAATTTCCATATTAATTAATTTTGACATGAATACATTAACTGATCATCTTCCAATGATAATATAATGCATCCAAACGGAAGGAAAACAGTCTGTTTCAGTGCACAATGCAGGTCATAAAGAAATAACTTAATAAGTAAAACAATCAAAGGGCCTAGAAGTAAGAAGCCACACTATCAATGCCAAACAGCAAAAAGCCGATATTGTGCACCGAAACGGACTGCACAAATTTGGTCTGCTTCAGTGCGCAACCCTATCTGGCATGTTCCTGGGCATTAAGAAGCAGCCTGCGATAGTATTTATCGATTCTAGTATACATTCTACGATACATTAGAGCTAGATTAGCTAGATGTGCTAAATAATCGACTACTCAAGCGCTTAGTAAATTCACCGATACCGGTTACGAAAACCATTAATATGAAGGGGCAAAACTTTCCGACACCGTAGAATCACGTGTGTTGACAGGAACCTCCAAAACGAAAGTGAAATAAGCTGCATTCTGCGCATGCTCACAGAAAGTAACCTCGTTTTCGCTGTTCTTATCCAAAACAAAGCAGGAGACTGGGGGTTGCGCACCCAAACAGTAGCGCGGTGATGCGGGCCTACTCTAGATCTAGATCTAGATAATCCAGCTCATATGACCAACCCAACTGTGGAATGTGACATTTTTGAGGATGTAGCCAATCTTGATCTAAATGTTAGTGTTGGGTCAGAGGGCAGGACAAAAAGGGACAAACTGATCAGTGGACCATCCATTTAACCAAGAAGAAAAAGGGACAAGGCTAGAAACATTGACTTCTTCAGAGTTAATTGTAGCCAAATTTGTAAGTGTAGACTAGTGCAAAGCAAAAGGTCTAAGATCTAGGCCTGCCTTTGCCTTTCTGCTAACATTTTGAGTGCTGCATTCTGCTGCCAAACTCAAACAAAAAAAAGGAAAAATATAGGCCAAAGGCCTAAGGTAGGCCAAGTAGCCTAACAGAAAACGCCTACAAATAATAATGACAATCTAGATATATCTAATAAATGTAAGAGAAATAACCTACGTTCCCCTGAAATAGGATACTGGCCGAATAGTTTTGTAGATTTTCATGCCAGTTATTCGTTAGATTGCCCAGAAGGGAAATAAGCAATGCCTGCGACATGTGGTGGCGAGCACAACGTGGGCTCAGTGGGCATTTCGAAAAGAAACAACACTGAAATAACTGGGAGAGTTTTGACATAAAAAGTTCTATTCTAAGATTTAAAAGACTTCAAATAAGCATCACCAGTCCAATCTAAGTCAATATTGTCCATAATTATATTTTAAAAAGCGTAATTGTTCATAGCGTACCTCGCCTTTAGCCTTCATGATGAGGGTTCGGAAGCGGAAAAGGAAGTTGATTTTGTGAACGTCACGTGACCAAGACGAAATCCGAACGGTGTTTAGTTTCTTTTACGGTGAAGGTTAAAAAATACAACTGTTGCTAAATTTCCTACCTTGAGGTTGCCAATCATCGAAACAAGTAGCAGAATAAATTTATTAGCCAGAGCTAGAGTTACTAGATCTAAGTCTATTTGCCTACAAGCAGCCCTTGTTCCCTTAGCTAAGCTGCTACGTGTTTTCTAGGAATACGGACTGCTGGGCCTGCTCTGTCGCACAGAACGTATTTCGCATTTGGGGGGATATTTTCTTCCACAACTAATCACAAATCCTTTAATCCCCCCCCCCCCTTTGCCTTTTGCATTTCCTCAGATTTGGTAATATTTTCCAGAGCTTGATATCTTTTGCTTTAACCAACAGTAAAACGTTCTGTGAATTCTTGATTTGTCTTTAAAAGATTTATTTCAGTTTTATGTTGGTACTGTGCTTTGACTTGCCTTAAAAAAAAATCTCATCTGCATTTTACTCCCGACTGGTAGCCTACATGATCACTTACACAACACACTCCTTGCAATGACACCCAGATCATCATAATTTAACATTTTTGAAAAGATTCTGAATGAAAAGTCTCTTTGGTTTTTAGTTCTATCTCCAGGGTTCTTCCAAGTTATTATGCAGCCTGGTGTAGGCCTATAGATAAGAAGTTCTGTTTGTATCTCCGAAGGCTTGAAAGGAAAAGACAGTTGTTCATTTTTATTTTCGCTTTGTTAGACTGGATGCATTGACATGTTTACATGTTTAACAATTTATTACAAAACGCTAAGTGTATAAAAACACAGAAAACATAATAATATAATCAACAAAAAAACTGACGAACCGGACGAGGTTAAGTAAAGAACTGATAAGGAAAAGTGGACGGTCTATCTTTATAAACTCCCAAGTACTAGCAATGCTTTGTTCATACATCTTTTTTCAGGTCTATTTGAAGTCTCACCTCATATCTCATCCAACTGCAAGCAGGTTAGCTTGATTAATTTTCATGTTTCATTTCTCTCATTTGTGGGCATATACTCCTCGATGCACTCTTTCTGCGTGTCTTCAATTTCAGTTTGTTTCTATTTGATGAGCTGAATGGCCATGCGTCTTTTTAATAGTATTCTCTTAACTCATTTAAGGCTCGCTATTTTTGGAGTACTATATAAAAGAGGCATAGCTTCGCTATATTGATGAAGATGTGTTAATTCTGTTTTATCCCGTTAATAAGGCAGTTCAGACAAAAAACATGTGTACTATGAACATTGCAAATCCATGCCCCTGATTTGTGTATGATGGTTCAAAATGAGCACAACATTGCCTTTGGTCTTTCGCTAGTCGGACACAACGTGTCTGCTCCGTCCTAAAAGAGTTAAAACTGATATTCCTTTCTTTCTCACGAGCAACACAGGAAGGTGGCAGGTGCTCTTGTGTGATTTGCGGCTTTCAATAAATATTTCTTTTTTTTTTGTATTGTTTTCAGTTCCACAAATTTATACCAGTCGTCTGTGGTGTAGCAATTAAAAGCGCTTAGCTTAACTGTCGCACGCAGGAGACTCGAATTCGGTTCCCGAATGAGGAGAAAATTAAAAAAATATATTCATGAATATTATATATCGAGTATCTCTGTCTTTCTGCTGGGATGTTGTATCTCTATCAGCCCGACCGCTTTCTAAATTATCTAAATTCTAAAATGTGTCGATTGGGGGCATAAAAACATCTACATTAAATAAATAGTAGGCCTATATACATGTATTTTATACATACATGTTATATAAACACACAAACAAACACACATTCATATACACAAGCAATATATATATA